GTCAAAAAATCAGATCTAGGTTAACCAAAAGTCTAAGGAACGACCGTGAGCAGTGATGGGTAACGAAAGTAAAAGAGATGGAAAAGGCGGCGGCTGTAGAAACTGGAACTAAGAAGTCAAGTGTAGATGAAAAAAACAACCACTCTTATCTGCTCTTAGCCCGGACGTTTAGAACAATAGGCAGAACACTTTAGAGAACAGTTTAGCTGGCCTTTAGCTACTTTACAACTATCCACTATTGCCAGTTAGCGTGAATTGAACATTGAAGTAGGTGCCCCGACTGTATCAGAAGTTTAAAAGGCTATAGCTAATCTGAAACAAGGAAGGGCAGCTAGTCCAAATAGGTTGGCTCCGGAGGTCTTTAAATATGGTAGTCCAATTCTAGCGATTAGGTTGACTAATATTTTAGCTAAAATCTGGGAGTTGGACGTAATTTCATCTGACTCGCCTCTGTCATTGGTTGTCCCAAAATAAAAGAACGGGTCAAAATGATCCTAAGACAACCATGAAAAGAATAATTTGACTAATATAGCATCTAAACTACTAGGCTCAATAATTATCAAACGTCTAACTAAGACTCGGGAACTGCAAACACGAGAAAACCAGGCTGGCTTCAGACCTGGTAGTGGATACAACGACCAGATACTCACCATTCGTCAGGTCCTAAGATACAGGCATGCTTATCGGCATCCAACAATGACGCTTTTCTCGACTTAGAAGCGGCATTTGACTCTGTAGGGCGAGAAGTTCTGTGGCAGTGTCTGTCATTAAAAAGCGTACCTCAGAAGTACATAAACCTTGTGGAGGCTCTTTACTTGACCACTACTAGTTGACTCGGAGCTTATGACGAACTGTCATCTACTTTTTCAACTTGAATTAGTGTCCGTCATGGCTGTCCACTATCTCCATTTTTCTTTAACTTCATCACAGACCTACTGATGGAAATAAAGTTCTCGTCGACTGAATTCTCTGGCATTCATCTTCTACCAGGAGGTTCAAACGATTTATTCCTGTTTGGTGAAGACGCTGATGAAATGCAGAGTCTTTTGGTAGCATTGAGTAACAAAGCCAGTATGTTTGGATGCGTTTCTCCCTATCTCAATGTAAGTTGATGCTCCAGAACTGGTCTGCGTCAACACCTGAACTAAGAATAGGGAGTGAAGTAGTCAAACGCGTCGACAACTTCACTTATTTCGGAAGTCTGATCAGCTCTAATGGGTTGATGTCTGACCAAATCTCAGCACGGATTCGAAGAGCTCGTTTGGCTTTCGCCAACTTACGTCACCTATGGAGAAGGTGAGAAATCCGTCTATCAATTAAGCGACGAGTATACTGTGCGGCAGTTCGTTCCGTTCTACTATACGGCTGTGAAACATGGCCTTTAAGAGTAGAAGATATTCGTAAGTTACTAGTATTTGACCACAGGTGCCTTAGAAATATTGCGGGTATCTGCTGGGATCACCGGGTAAGTAATAGTGAGGTTAGACGCAGGGTATTAAGGAATGATGTATACCTGAACATCGATTGCCAGGACGCGCAATACTGACTAGTATTATTAATGATAGGAAGAATGTTAAGGGTGATCAAACCAAAACATGATATCAGTGCTTTAGTGATTAATTTCTAGTCTAAACCATGTTGGTTGATGCAGACTACAACATTGTTCGATCTAATTAGTGACATAAAGAGCCAATAAATATTTACTTTAAAAATTATTGCTACTATATAATTTAATAAGTAGACGATCTATTTTTCAAAAATAATCTTGGCCCTTTATTGACACTTTAAAATGAGATATTTTGCTTATAAACTGTTATCGAATGATATCAATGAAGATACTGTTTCTGTTGGAATTTTACAAAATATTGGGCTCTTCCAGATTGAATGCTATCTAGACAAGAAAATTAAAGTTTATTAGACTTATTTGCTAAGTGTTAAAATGGAGGAAAACTGTTCTGTAAACATAAGTAAGTCAGTCAGTCAGTAACAACGTGGAACTTCGTACGTACGTACATCAGTTCAAGTTGCCATACTACATTAGCACACAGATACAATTATCGATACAAATCCCATAGTGGTAGAGGTAGTCAAAGTATAAGCAGTAATTGCAATCACTAGAGTTTGAAGATGTTATTCAAAGAGTATAATCCAGTGAAATAAATTTAGAAAGAGTAAAACAAAAGGGACATGAAGAATTGAGATCAGAATTTGGGAGAACACAAAGAGTGGATGCAACTGCGCCATTGCAAACGATTTTGAGCCATGTCATTCAAGGTCTCTAACTATCGACAGATATCGTCTCGCGGATCCCAACCAGATAGTCTACACCTACCAACATGGCTCACTCAGTCCACTTGTCAGTGACTTCATGGATTTGTGCCGTGTTTTGGTCTGGGCGTCTCTAGCTCTCTTGCAACCTACTGCTATACCATTGAACATCGCACGTTGGGGCAGTCGGTGGTTGGGCATACGTATCACATGTCCCAACCATCTCAACTGAATAAATTTCATTACTTCATCGATTGATTTGTTATCCTTACCTAGTACCCGTTTCCTGACAACTGCATTTAATATGTACTAATGAAAAAACAACACTAAACATACGAATGGGTGATCGGACCTCTTCCTCTAGTTAGCGGGGCAGGGACGCGTCAAATAGCTAGCTTATCGGCTTTTGGTCACTGAGTCTTTGTTCCGTTCTCAATCTAAGGAAACTCGGAACCGTTTCAAACCTAGGATAATTATTAACCTTTTTTATCCTTACCAAGAGAGAAACAGTCTAACAAACAATAAACGACTAGAATAATTAAGTCAAGAATTAAGATACTGAATTATCATAATTACTAAAGACAAACCATCTAACTGTGTGAATTACGCAAATGTATATTCCATTATCAATGGTCCCCGAATGCCCTGGTACGGCCAAGAGTAGGGAGACTCCGCTCACCCTCTCGAAACGCTCTCACATGGCCACGCGTATATAGCCTCTGCCAGCGAAGTCCTATTCACTGCATTTTTGTTGAGCAGGGGTTGTTTACAAAATTGAGAGAACGGAAAGCGAATGTCTGGCACTTAAACCGGGTCGGTAGATACAGTAAGTCCACCTAGGAAAGTTGGAAAACCCTGATTCCAAACCAATGGTGCACATGGGCTAGCTCCAGTATCCTGATGGAACAATTGTCATATGAACCAATCGTTGGTCACCGGCTACCATGGGACGGCATCTCCTTACGATGCTCCATTGCCTTATGGATCAGATCTTCAGGTCGAAGGCTTGTGGTGTAGCTCCACTGCTCTACTGCCTTGTGGACCAGATCTTCAGGTCGAAGGCTACGGGTGTGGCCCCCTAAGAAAACCACTTGCTTCGGTTTGGGCAGACGGGCAGTATCACAGCCCTTACAAAAAACAAATGAGATTTGTATGAAGCATATATATTTGGTGCCTCCTTGTACCAATATCTATGTGTTCAAATAAATAAATAAAATATCAATGGTATTCTGTTTATATTAAATTAAAGTTTATATGTAGCGTTCTTTTGTATTTGATTCCATTTTGCATGTTGATAAACTGTTATGAAGGTTAAACATAGCTGTCAGCTCCTTTTCTTTCAGAACTACAGACAAGCTAAGCGCCACAGACAGCTTACGAGTTGAGGATCATTATTTTATCAGTCAGTCAGTAACAACGTGAGAACTTCGTACGTACGTACATCAGTTCGAGTTGCTATACCACATTAGCACAGAGATTCAGTTATTGATTCAAATCTCGTAGTCGAAGAGGTAGTGATAGGAAATATTAGGGTTTGATGATGTTATTTAAGGAGTATAGTCCAGTTATTTTATGAAGTACGATTTCGTATGTATCTCAGTCATGCAACTAGACGCTTCGATAGGTTTAACACTGTTAACTAATCAATAGTATTATTAACCACTCAAATGACTTTTTTTTTAACGGTTTTACATTATTATCACAGTTTACACAACAAGCTAATCTTAGCTAGACCATCATTGAGAAACTAGATGCACTAAACCACCATTCCGTTGTAGTATAGGGTTTCTCAGAAGTGCTCACCGATGACCTCGTATCTAATGGTCGGATCCATGATGATCAAGCCCCTATATCACTAAACTAACCTTATCAATATTAATTAGCATTTAGCAATACAGAGAATTCTTTCAATTTCAACTACAATTACATATAATCCCAATGAGATATAGAAAATGAGATACCAGAGCGAATGGATTACTATTAGTGAATAAATTAACTAAAGTCACTGCTCAACTATTCTTATCAGATAATTGTTATATATGTATGATCAAGCTCCATACAAAATTGTGATCTGCATTCTCTTTATAGTTCAGTTCAATAACTGTTAGAAATCAATATAATGATTGAATCTAATCGATGAACTAAAAACACAATTCTATGAAATGGTTTACTTTATACACATTGAAATGCCAACACATATATTGTGTGTGTGTGTGTGTTTATTATTTATTTATTTTAACACATAGGTATTGGTACAAGGAGGCACCAAATATATATGCGCCACACGAATCTCAATTGATTTGTGTGAGGGCTGTGATACTGCTCGGATGCCCAAACCGAAGCAGGTGGTTGTCTTAGGGGGACACACCCCGAGCCTTTGACCTGGACGTCTGACCTACAAGGCAGTGGAGCATCGTGAGGAGATGCAGTCCCATGGAAGCCGGTGACCAACGATTGGTTCATACGCCATTCGTTCCCGCAGGATACTGGAGTCCATGTGCACCATTGGTTTGGCGTCCGGTTAAAGCGCCGGACATTCGGTTTTCGTCCTCTCATTTTTGTAAACAACACTCCCGCTACGAGAAGGCAGTGAGTAGGACTTCCCTGGCAGGAGCTATGTACGCGTGGCCATGTGAGAGCATTTCGAGAGGAAGAGCGGACTCTCCCCACTCTCGGCCATACCAGGGCATTTGGGGGCTTGTGTGTGTGAGAGAGAGAGAGAAAGAGCATAGTGAATAGAAACGAAATATATTAAAATGAAACATCAGCAAAAAGCAGAAGAACAACTACTAATATACGATAATACTATCATATAATGATAGAAAATTTATGATTAACTATTCACATAAATGCTATAATTTCAAATGGAAGTTACAAGCAAATATATATGATTCCTTATTGGTTTAATTGAATTCATTTGTTATTAATAATATGATCATACTAAATATAAACATAAATATATTGAATGAAAGCAAAAATTCACTATCTATGAACAAAGATCCATGAATGTGCAAGACGAAAAGAAAGATTTCAGGTTATGTACAAATCGATAATGGATTCATTAATACGTTATGTATATATATATATACTACTTACAAGTAGCATAAATATTGGAAAGTAAAAGAGCTACAGAAAAGAAGCTTGTCATACATGAACATAGCGTATGTTAAAAAGGTTACAGGAATTCTCGTTCATGCATAGATTCCTTTTCTTGAAATGGTACCCTACCTGTTTAGAATGATAAATAGATCAATTGGAATTTTTGTTTTGCTTTTTTTTGCATAAAGCGAGTGAATATTAGATACGTTTAAAAGAGAAATGAATAATGATGATAGTAAGTTAAAATAATAGATAAAGAAAATGATATATTATTTCAATTAGTTTTGTAATATTAGCATTAATCTAATGATTGAAAAATGCAGTCAAATATTTTAAACTACTAAAATACAAATAAAGTAGTATAGAAAAAGCATACATTTAAAATGTGAAAAGTAGAGGAATAATGTGTAGTAACCGGTGTACAATATAAAGTATTTGTTCCTTTTTTTTTTCTTTTTTACTATTGATAATAGATCAGTAATTGTAAGGTTGATTTTTTTGTTTATTCATTAAAACAAACCATCTAGTGGAAATCACTAATAACTACGTCTAGATCTTCACGAATGATCCACATTCCAGGAGGTGTGTTTGCCAATTTTTCATTAATATTATCATCATCATCATCATTACCATTATTATTATTATTATTATTATTATTATTATTATTATTATTATTATTACCTGGAATAGATTTATCGTAATTACGGTAATCTTGTTCATATTCACACTTTGTATAACCATGAATGTGTTTTGATGATTTCACTTCATTATTATGAATAATATCCGATTCAACTGAAGTTTCAATGGTTGATTTTTTTAATTTATCTATACAGACTTTGGTATTGTCATCTTTATTATTATTATTATTATTATTATTATTATTATTATTCAATAGAGAATGTGGTGTTGGTTTAACAGCTGATATTGGTTTCACAGCAATAGGTATTCCATTATTTGACATATTAGCAGTTGATGGACTGATTTTCCGTCCTAAAAAAAAGAGAGAATACATATATATATGTATATATATATATTATTATTGAACGGATTTGAATTTCTAGTTTTTAACAACTAGCAGTAAATTAGATATACTGTTCTACGGGGCACGTTGGATAGAGCGGTTTTTTTTTGGAAGTTACCCATGAAACATTGAGATGTTACACACTCACTGCCTTCTCGTGGCGGGGGTGTTGTTTACAAAAATGAGAGAACGAAAACCGAATGTCCGGCACTGGCTTTAACCCAATCCCAAACAAATGGTGCACATGGGCTAGCTCCAGTATCCTGCGGGAACGAATGGCGTATGAACCAATCGTTGGTCACCGGCTACCATGGGACTGCATCTCCCCACGATGCTCCACTGCCTTGTAGGTCAGACGTCCAGGTCAAAGGCTCGGGGTGTGGTCCCCTAAGAAAACCTCCTGCTTCGGTTTGGGCATCCGAGCAGTATCACAGCCCTCACACAAATCGATTGAGATTCGTGTGGCGCATATGTACTTGGTGTCTCCCTGTACCTATACCTATGTGTTAAAATAAATAAATACGATAAGTTAAAGGATACCAGTATGTAAATCAATCATTTATTTTCTTTTGAACCATTCCTTACCTCAACAGGTGATATTGGCTGATATATAAAAGTACATTGGGAGAAAATTGAAGATAGTCAAAAAAATGGCATTAGTTGATAATATCATTGGTTTTTATTTTAAGGTATATGGGTATATATAGACTATCTAGTTGCGATCCGTGCTATAACCGCAATTTGTATTTAGAGACATTGAATGATATAGTTCAGAGTTGATCACAATGGTACAAATGTATACGTTAGAGCCAATCGCAATACGGTCGCTAGTCTGACAGAGTCAGTCAGTCAGTAACAACGTGGAACTTCGTACGTATGTAAATCAGTTCGAGTTGCCATACCACATTAGCACAGAGATTCAGTTATCGATTCAAATCCCATAGTGCTAGAGGCGGCGGCATTTGACTCTGTTGATCGTGAGGTTCTATGGCAGTGTTTGTCACTGAAGGGAGTACGAAAGAAGTACATTAACCTTATAAAGGCTCTCTACTCGAAAACAACTGGTCGAGTGAGAGCTTATGGCGCACTGTCATCACAATTGATTACTTCAAGTGGTGTTCGTCAGGGCTGTCCACTCTCTCCAATCTTTTTTAGCTTTATCCTAGACCAGCTTTTACAGATAACACTTTCCGCATCTCAATTTCCAGGAGTTGAACTTCTACCAGTAAATTCAATTGTTGACTTAGAATATGCCGATGACATAGTTCTATTTGGTGAAGACGCTGACAAAATTCAGTCTTCTGACTACGCTGAGCAACAATGCAAGCATGTTTGCATACGATTCTATCCCTCGAAATACAAAATGTTGCTTCAGGATTGGGTTGCATCGACACCCGAACTAATGATAAGGAGTGAAGTAGTTGAGTGTTTCGACCGCTTCACTTATCTCGGAAGTCTCATCAGCCCTTATGGTCTGGTGTGTGACGAAATCTCAGCACGGATACAAAAGGCTCGACTAGCTTTTGCCAACTTGCGTTATTTATTACGCAGGCGAGATATCCGTCTATCAACCAAAGGACGTGTTTACTGAGCAGCAGTTTGTTCCGTCCTACTTTATGGCAGTGAAACATGACCAGTAAGAGTAGAGGATATTCGTAGGTTACTAGTACTTGATCACAGGTGTCTTCAAAACATTGCTCGTATATCCTGGGACCATCAAGTAAGTAATGCAGTTGTTAGGAAACGGGTACTAGGTAAGGATACCAAATCAATTGAGGAAGTAATGAAACTTAATCAGTTGAGATGGCTGGGACATGTGTTGCGCATGCCCGACCACCGACTGCCACGACGTGCTATGTTTTATGGTGTAGGAGTAGGTTGGAAGAAAGCTAGGGGCGGCCAGACCAAAACATGGCAGAAATCCATGAAGTCACTGACAAGTGGACTGGGACATGTTGATAGGTGTAGACTACCTGGTTTGAATCCGCGAGATGATAGCAACCGATGGTTGGAGACCTTGAATGACATGGCTGAAAATCGTTTGCAATGGCGCAGGTGCATCCACTCTATGTTCTCTCAAACTCTAATCTTCTGAATTCTTCATGTCCTTTATTTTCTTTCCCAATTTATTCCACTGGACTATACTCCTTTAATAACATCATCAAACCTTAATGTCCTCTATCTCTACTTATACTTTCAGTACATCTACCACTATGGGATTTGAATCGATAACTGAATCTCTGTGCTAATGTGGTATGGCAACTCGAACTGATTTACATACGTACGAAGTTCCACGTTGTTACTGACTGACTGACTCAGGATACTGGAGCTAGCCCATGTGCACCATTGGTTTGGGATCCGGTCAAAGCGCCGGACATTCACTTTCCGTCCTCTTATTTTCGTAAACAACACCCCCATCACGAAAAGACAGTGAGTAGGACTTTGCTGGCAGTGGATTTATACGCGTTGCCATGTGAGAGCATTTCGAGAGGGAGAGCGGACTCTCCCCACTCTCGGCCGTATCAAGGCATTTGGTCACTTAATGTGACGTCGAGGAAGTTCAGCTTTTTTGTCATACTCGCATTCACCAGTGAAACTGATCGCTGGGTGAACACTGTTAAATTGCTTTCATTAAGTAGTACATGTATAACATAATAAAGAAGTCGGAGATTTCGACTGTTCGTAAGAAATCATATATCTACAATTCTGAAAAAAAGATGCCATCTATATATATATATATATATATATATATATATATATATATGAATGGAAATCATATTGTTTATTGGTCATAGTGAAAGATTCTACCAGTAGATTTATAGCAGCTAACAGAAACATATTAATACACACTACATTTAACTCATTTACCAGGTAGGTATGAGTTTTGTGTAATCAGGTCACATCAATTATTATTATTATTATTATTATTAATACATATAAATATATGGTATTGTGTATAATGTGTCAAACATTATATCATGTCCAATAATTATGATGTAAAAAGTGAAATACAATCACTATGATACCATATTGTTGTATAATAAACAAATGTTTAAATAGTAAATAACAACCCCCCCCCTTGAATCTATCATAATGAATATACACAATTGATAGTTAACAATTTGGTACGTTTGACTTTTGTCAACTTGAGTTATCTATGGTTATAGGTGAGATATGTATGTGGGGCCTTTTATTTACATGTCAATTAGATCGGACAACGTTCATCGAAGGGCTCTCCACTTTAGTGGCCCGAGATCTGACTTCGATTTAGATCGTATGAATGTTTATTATCGCCTATCCTTTTATATAATCATCGACTTAAATCGCGTTAGTCAATAACGGAATTAAATGAGTCAAATAACAAGAATGGAGTATTGGATACATATATTTTGTATATGAAGCGAATGGAATAGAGAGAAGTGAAACGACGCGCAGTGGAGATGGCGGGTAAGCCAACTCCTCTTTAACCAGACGTTAATCAATATTTCTAGGCACACAAAAGTAAGTTACAGATATATAATAAGTAAAGGGATAAAAAGTGTACACACACCTACGCGCTCATATAAAAACAGTCAACATTGATAAGCGAATAATTAACAACGTCACAATGTGACTAAAGTAGAATGAATAGATTGAGCTGTTCGAAAGCGAGAATAAGGTATATAGGTTTAACATAATAACCGACACCACATGTGTCTCTCTAAACGAAAAGACGACTTTAACTGTGAAACTCAGTCTTTTTAAAGGTAGGGAATATTCATAGGTTGATAATACTACATTATATATATATATATATATCTTTGAGGCATCGTTTGCTTATGTTTGGACCACTATCAGTCAGATGCAATGTAGAACCTGGCACGCGTGTATATTAGAATATTAGAACAGCAGGATGAAATTTTTGGGGCAAATTCCATGGTAGTAAAGGTAGTAACAATACTAGTGGTCATAGAAAAGATTAGGCACGAAAGATGCAATTCGAGGAATTTAATGAGATAAAACAAATTTGTGAGGAATTCAGAACTTCTAACAGCAATCGACATTCTTTTGGAACCACCGAATGAACAATCTTAGTATTAGATGCGGCGTAATAAGTGAAGATGGAAATTTGGTTGATGAAGTTGTGGATCTATATTAACTGAAGTGAATTGGATACGTATTACGTATGGCAAACCACCGCTGACGATAACATAAGATATTTGTACGTGTAGCAACGGGTTAGAAGAAAGCTGGATAAGGGCAAACCAAAATGTAGCACCAGTGAGTGAAATTATTGAGTATTGAGCAATGAACTCAAATGATTATGATTGATCGTTGACTGGGTTGGAGATTATACAATGAAATGAACTATCACATGTATATGGTCAGTCAGTCAATCAGTCACAATCAACGTACAGCCTAACACAAATATATATTTTCATAACATTATTTATTATTTATTTATTTTAACACATAGGTATAGGTACAGGGAGACACCAAGTACATATGCGCCACACGAATCTCAATCGATTTGTGTGAGGGCTGTGATAATGCCCGGATGCCCAAACCGAAGCAGGTGGTTTTCTTAGGGGGCCACACCCCGAGCCTTCGACCTGAACGTCTGACCCACAAGGCAGTGGAGCATCGTGGGGAGATGCAGTCCCATGGTAGCCGGTGACCAACGATTGCTTCATACGCCATTTGTTCCTTCAGGATACTGGAGCTAGCCCATGTGCACCATTGATTTGGGATCCAGTTAAAGCCAGTGCCGGACATTCGATTTTCGTCCTCTCACTTTTGTAAACAACACTCCCGCTACGAGAAGGCAGTGAGTAGGACTTCCCTGGCAGAGGCTATATACGCATGGCCATGTGAGAGCATTTCGAGAGGGAGAGCGGACTCTCCCCACTCTCGGCCGTACTAGGGCATTTGAAAGGCTATTGTCATAACAAGAAGAAATTAACAAAGAATATAGCGAAAATATCGAAACAGAAGTATTATAAAGGATATTGGGAAAGATCTAACACTATAGAATAAAATCCTAAAAGTAAGTATATATGAAAGAATGTTAAAACTCAAAATCTAAAGGTTGATAACAGACTAGATGTACCTGTGCTACTGTTAACGATTGTGAGCCTTGAACGACATGTTTATGATTATCGTGTAGACCTAACCAGATAGTTTGTAACCATTAACATAGATCAGCCTAACACAGTCAATTAAAACTATGAACTGATCTTATAACATTTACTATATAAATCCATTAGTTTTCATGGTGGTTTAAAAAAAAAACGAATAAACAAACAAATAAATCTTAAATTTGAACAAACCTATTAAAGATTTACGTCCACCACGAATAGGTTTAGGAACATCTGATGCTTGTATGTTATTATCATTTTTTGAAATTGTACCAGATCCAATCGATTCCGTTGTTGTTGTCGTTGTTGTTGTTGTTGTTGTTGTTGTTGTTGTTGTTGTTGTTGACAGTGTACTATCAGATGTTTTACTGCTTAAACTAATAGTGGAATTTCTACAAGGCAAGCTATTAGGCATATAATCATTCGATTTCTGAAGTAAATAATTATGTTTAGACTGTTGTAATTTTATTGTTAATGGTATTCCTTCTTCAACTGAGGTAAGACGTTCAGTAGAATGATTTGAACGACCAATTGTATTCAATGATCGATGACTAAATGTATTTTTTGTATATAATCCAGGATTTAGAGTTTTACTAGCATATTTATGAGTATTATTATTTGTTATTGTATTAGTTAGACAATTTGATAAATGTTGATTTATCAATGATTTATCCTGTTTAATAAGAGCTGCATAAACTGATTCCATAGATATTTGTTGAATACTAGTAGCTTTAGGAATATTATTACTACTAGGTGGAGGTTGAATATTAATTTCATTATTTAATGAATTGATTGACTTTAAATTAGATATTGAACTTGCAGCAGATACTGAACGACTATTAGTTAAAGAATGATCTTGTACCGATGGTGGTTCTGTCATTGCAATACGATGATATTGTTGATGTTGTTTGATAATATGTTTAGTGGAATTTTTAGTAGTATTTTTATTAGATGGATTATTATTTGTAGTTTTATGTATAGTGTTTATTGTTTTAATAGGATGTATAACATTCTTTTTGTATTTATATACAGGATTATCATTGCTAATTGAGGAATTTGTATAATTTATATGGTTAGACTAAAAACAAGATATAGATTGGAAAATATAGAAAATAGAGAATTGATAATTAATTATGTAAATTAATATAATGAAAGTGTTATTTTCTTTTTTTTGCCCCCAAATGCCCTGGTACGGCCGAGAGTAGGGAGAGTCCGCTCTCCCTCTCGAAATGCTTTCACATGGTCATGCGTATATAGCCTCTGCCAGGGAAGTCCTACTCACTGTCTTCTCGCACCACGGGTGTTGTTTACAAAAATGAGAGGACGAAAAACGAATGTCTGGCGCTTTAACCGGATCCCAAACAAATAGTGCACATGGGCTGCAGTATCCTGCGGGAACAAATGGCGCATGAACCAATCGTTAGTCACCGGCTACCATGGGACTGCATCTCCTCACGATGCACCACTGCCTTGTGGGTCAGACGTCCAGGTCGAAGGCTCGAGGTGTGGCCCCCTAAGAAAACCACCTGCTTCGGTTTGGGCACCCGGACAGTATCACAGCCCTCACACAAATCAATTGAGATTCGTGTGGCGCATATGTATTTGGTGCCTCCCTGTACCTATACTTATGTGTTAAAATAAATAATAATAAATAAAATATCTTCTTTTAATTCAATTGATTAATTGATCAAGTTTACTTAATATTTGGAGGAGTACCAAACAACTATATTCATCTTATATAGGCTCTCTACTTGAACGTAGCAAGTCGTGTGAGAGTTTATGGTGAATTGTTATCAGAATTGATTACCTTAAGTGATGTTCGTCAGGATTGTCTACTCTTACCATTCTTGTTTAACTTTGTCGTTGACATCCTTTTAGAGATGACACTTTCCGTATCTCAATTTCCAGGAGTAGAACTTCTATCAGGAGATTCACTTTTTGACCTAGAATATGGTGAAGACGCTGACAAAATTCAGTTTTCTGACCACTCTAAGCAACAATGCAAGCATGTTTGGTATGCGGTTCTCTCCCTCGAAATGTAAAATGTTGCTTCAGGATTGGGTTGCATCGACACCTGAACTAATGGTAGGGAGAGAAGTAGTTGAATGTGTCGACCACTTCACTTATCTGAGAAGTTTCATCAGCCCTCGTGATCTGGTGTGTGACAAAATCTCAGCACGGATACAGAAGGCTCGACTAGCATTTGCCAACTTCCATCATTGATGATGTAGGAGAGATGATAGCAACCGATGGTTGGAGACCTTGAATGACATGGCTGAAAATCGTTTGCAATGGCGCAGGTGCATCCACTCTATGTTCTCTCAAACTCTAATCTTCTGAATTATTCATGTCCCTTTCTTTTTCTTTCTCATTCCAAATTTATTTCACTGGATTATACTCTAATGTTTCCGATTACTGCTTATACTCTTACCACCTAAACCACTATGGGATTTGAATCGACAACTGTATCTCGGTGTTAATGTGGTATGGCAACTCGAACTGATGTACATACGTACGAAGTTCCACGTTGTTACTGACTGACTGACTTAATATTTAGATAACGAGCATAACATCAGATAAGATTTTGTGTACAGTCGTAATTTCCAACACATTCGCTTGGAAAGCATGTATGATCAAAGACTTACAACCTACTATCACTTACAGCTTTTATCTTTAGAATATAAAACGATTTGTTGTGAATTACATAATCTCTCTTTAGTAGGCAAATAGATAACTATGCTAAAAACATCTTTTACAGACACGTGCTGATAAGTTTCTGGAGATAGGATGAATAATAATGAAGAATATGACCAACAATTTAATGATCTATGATCAAATTAAACATTGGTACATATTAGTACTGGAGTATTTATTTTGTGATAAAGAACAAAAAGGTATTCCTGTGGTGTGTGTTACTGATAATGACAAATATAAGTAGTATCATCAATCGAAAGTGAAATGCCTGGAAACAGAAGGTTAAGAAGATTAAAGAACGATTGGTGTCAAAACGAAGGAAAAATGGAGTCTGAGGCGATTAGCTAACATTTTGCAGAAGGAATAGTCAAGTTTGAGACAATTGACTGATATTTTGCAAATGAAGTATTTACTGTTTAGTTCTCAGATTTTACTAAGATGTTCCGTAATATTGTGTTCAAATGCATTCGATTATCCCTACTTGTGTTCTCGTTCACTACATTCCTAACCAATTGCTTATTGTTCTCTAATATTGTAGCCTACCAGATGTAAACGTTTATGTACCCACTCTATTTATTTGTTTCCAAGTCGATGGTACTACTGTTCAGCTGCTTGCAACGGACATCAAACCTACGACGACATGAATGGTTGAAATAGATATGACTTGTCTATCATACACTCTATAATTTTTACCATCATAGTACTTCCAATATTTTCAATTTTTCAGTTGAATAAAACAATCTACATCACATTAGACAACCAATGTGTAGGCTACGATAGAGAGAGATAGATTTACAAGCATTATGTACACTTTATGTATGGTAAGTACCTCAACTACGTTACCAACACATACACGGATACTTCAAAGAATTAATTGACTAAGGAATAGGAATACTGATAATTCCGTGTCGTGTATTCCAATATTTGAAAAAACGTAGACCTAAAGTAGACTAAAGCACAGATTATACAGTCGACTGACAGTAGTTTAAACCTAATTATACATATCATCAATAGTTTAAGGTAGAAGGACATAGTTGGAAACCGAAATTCCCTATCCAGTGGAACTTTTCAAATCCATGAAAATGATAATTAAAAAAAATTCGAAACAATTAGAACAGGAGTCCGACAAGATATGGATCTTTTAATAAATTATAACTGATTGAAATTATTAATACCGACCACTAGGTATGAGTAAAAATACACTTACTGTGAGAATTGACGTACCGGTGTTCGATCTGTAGGAATCTCACGTGAATACTGACAGGGAATAATCTTATATTATGAATAAAATAATGTCCAATGCTCCTTGATGTTTAAACACTATGATAAACTCTTACTTCACAGACCATAACTAGTGATTAATTTAGGCAGTTTAAGATATTTGGGAATAAGCTTTACTACCTAGGTTTCGCACAGGTTGACGCATGTTGGAAAGGTGTACCTACAACCTTGACGGGACAGGAGTATCATCAATTTGAGACGATTTTACTGAGCCATTCAAGCTATTATTGACATCCTGTAGGACTGAGATATTTGCATTAGTCATCACTGGAATGATGTCGAATATCACATCTGTCTAGTCCATGATGCTAACGGATCATTAACCAAAATAATTTGGGATAAATCTCACAGGGAAGTGTATTAATTCATCGAAAAGTGAAGATATGTTTGATTAAAGAGTATCAGATATCCTGAAGCACTGGTTCACAGCTTCTTTTTTCAATTAATTTCCAATCACATTATATAAAATCATAATGAATATAGTATCAAGTTCATCTACAAATTATCAGCATAGGGTTGTGGAGATTATTAAGTTTTTTGATTGAGATCATGAACCGACTGATGTTAGACTACCACTGAAAACCTGGAAGCACTGGACGACCGTTTCGTCCAATTACCGGCTCAATGGTCTTATTAATATTTGAACACGCGGATAATGGGACAAGGGGGTACCATATACATATTCACCACACAGATCTCATTTGATTTGTGTGAGGGTTGTGGTACTGCCCAGGTGCCCAAACCGAAGGAGGTGGTTTCCTTAGGGGACAACACCCCAAGCCTTCGACCTAAAGGTCTAATCCACAAGGCAGTGGAGCATAGTAAGGAGATGCCGTCCCATAGTAGCCAGTAACCGACGATTGGTTAATACGACATTTGTTCCTTCAGGATCCTGGAGCTCATGTGCACCATTGGTTTGGAATCAGGGTTTTCAAACTCCCCTAGGTCGACTCTCCGTGTCCACAGAACCGGTGAAAGCGCCGGACATTCGCTTTTTAAATAACACCTTCACCACGAGAAGACAGTGAGTAGAATTTCCGTAGCAGAGGCTATAAACGCGTGGCAATGTGAGAGCATTTTGAGTGGGTGAGCAGACTCTCCCGACTTTCGGCCGTACCAGGGCATTTGGGGGTTCAATATTCTAAAGGTTGAGTGTTCTCATGTAAAACTTAAGGCCCTCTGTTTGAATCACGTGAGCGGGATCGTGGATACGCACTACTGAGGAGTCCCACAATAAAACGAAAAGGTAGAAAAAAAGATAACATAACATAATAAAAAAAACCCAAAAAATTACTTGAATTCTATTTCGAATGTTTGGATTGTTTTTCTTGTTACCATTAACAACCTGATTATTCATAATAGTGGTTAATTTATTGGAAGAAAATTGTTTAGAAATAGGTGACACTACAGTTTTTTCTAATCCATACACATTATTATTAGTAGTAGTATTAGTAGTAGTAGTAGTATGGTTAGTGAATTTTGAATTGTTTAATTTTCTATTTGACAATTGATGAGGACCATAATATTTCACTGATTGAATATTGGATGTAGAAGATGTTTGATTTGATATTTGACTAGTAACGCATGTAGGGGATGGTGAAAAATTATTCAATTTCATTGATTTAGTAGTAGTAGTAGTAGTAGTAGTAGTATTATTATTAGTAGTAGTAGTAGTAGCCTTTGTATTACTATTATCATTATTATTATTATTATCATCATCATTATCGAAGGGAATAGACTGTTCCAAGTCGGTGAATTTTGATAAAAGCTCTAAACTGGAAGCATTACTATCTGATTGAGAGTTATTATTATTATTATTACCAGTAGGAATAGTGATATCAGTTACTAATTTATTATTAGAATCATGTTGTTTTTCATTGATATCATTGTCACATGATTTCATTAGATCTGAAACAACAGTCTGGGGAGAAAGAAAAAGAAAACAATTATGGAAAATAATTGATGAACTTTGTTGAAAAAAAAGATAACTGGAACAATAGCTTAATTTCTGTCAGTCAGTCAGTAACAACGTGAAACTTCATACGTACGTAAATCAGTTCAAGTTGCTATACCACATTAGCACAGAGATGCAGTTGTCGATTCAAATCCCATAGTGGTAGAGATAGTGAAAGTATAAGTAGTAATCAGGAACATTAGAGTTCTCGATTTCTTTGCATTTCATTATGATTTATTCCCATGTTCAATGAGTTGACTGAACTAGGGTTGGAAGGACGGAACCTATGAATGGGTAGAACAATGATTAGAGATGTTGGGGTGACGTAGAGCGAAAGTGGTCACACTGACCTAATTGTACTATTTACTTAAGCGCTTGTTACCCCTTGTGGAGGAGCATAGTCTGCCCATTAGCACTCTCTATCTAACCCTGTCCTAGGTGCATCCGCTTTTTGTGTTCTCCCAAATTCTAATCTTCTGAATTCTCCACGTTTCTTCGTATCTCCTTCAAAATTTGTTTCACTGGATTATACTCATTGAATAACATCTTCAAACCCTAATCTTTCCGATTACTGCTTTTACTTTCATTACCTCCATCACTATGGGATTTGAATCGACAATTGTGTCTCTGTGCTAATGTGATATAGCGACTTGAACTGATGTACGTACATACAAAGTTCTACGATGTTACTGACTGACTGATCTTGAAAAATCCACAAAGTGGAACTACAGAACTGTTCATCAGTGCTTTATTGTTATAGATAGACTTTTCTAATAGATATTATTTTATACGAAAGTCTTCACATAACCTACTTAGAAGATAACAATCGGTCAGTTAGACAATAACAAAAGAAACTGATAGAAATATAAATCGAACATAAGAAATCCAATGAATTATTCATTTGTACAATAATACATATCAATTTAAGATAATATCATCACCATAATAGTTTCAAACGAATTGTTGGATAAGAAACAAATGATTTACCCCTTACTTTTATGTTACAAAGTCAATAACCTATTTGTCAAGTAATTAATTATGGATAGAGGATAGAGTAAGGAGATAGATAGATAGATAGAGAGAGAGAGAGAAAGAGAATAAGAAGAGAATACAAATACAACCAATACAACTGATCTACATAACTGGAACATTCATAAATACAAATGAATATTTTGTAAAAACAAAAGTATAGGTTATCAATGCCAAAGTTGGATTAGATAGTTTCAAACTAACTTATTCATCTATTTCGGTTATTTATATACTCTGAAGAAGTGGCGTCTATTATGTTACGAAACATTAGAAATAAAATGATTGAGAAAATAGTTTATTATTTCCTATATTTAAACTAATAATTAAATTTTGAATTTAAAAAAATCAACTGTATATGATATAGGGGTATTGAATAGACAAATAAAATATTATCAGAAGGCGTTTTGTGGATATTATAGTAAGTTCAATGGTTAAGATCATGAGTCAGTTGAAGCTAGACCACTATGGAGAACCTGGAAGCAATGGACGGCCGTCTCGTCGTATTGTAGAACTCCTCAGCAGTGCACATCCACGATCTCGCCCCCTCCGGGAGATTCGAACATAGGACCTATCAGTCTCGCGCACGAGCGCTTAACCACTAGACCACTGAGCCGGCCGGCATCCAATGGTGTTAATGTCTAACTTCAACTAATCCACGAAGTTGTGCCACCGTACAACGTTGTCTAGCTTCAACTGACTCATGATCTCAACCATTGAAATAAAATATAATTAGTAATGGAATGAGAAGACTAAATATTGAGCGACTACTCTAACATTGATAGTCAATAATTGGAAAATAGATTATCAAAGAGTACTGTATGTAATTGTTTATCAGTATATTGTTGTGGAAATGATTGAATTTCATTGAAATCATGAAACGATCAATGTTAGACGACAATCGGAAAGGTGAAAGCATAGGATAGCTGTTTCATCATAGTATGAGACTCCCCAGCTATACGCATTTACAACCTGATTATGAATACAGTTATCTTGAGGGCTTTTACAGGTATGACAGCGGTTATCACTTCCCAGTCGCCTACATCGTGGAAAGGTTCTTCTGGAGGTACCTGAAAATGAAATCGGATTAGAGGTGGTCTTAATGACCTAAGAGCGTGACCGACTGCCTAAGGAGAAACTGCTCACACGACATTTTTATGAGTAATTTTTGTATTAGCTCCGTACTTGTTGAGACCTTAACGCCGGAGACGAATATCCGTGAGATGTGCAATTTTATGGTTGACCTTCTCTCACCCCACACCTCCTTTTGAAAAGGCAGCATAACTGTCATGCTGGTTGTCTGGAGGAGACACCTTACTGCTGTTACACATCTGTACAGTCAGCAGTACGACCTCACCCTCAGACATTGGGTTTGTTGCTTTTAATCTTACCGCTCTTCAACCGACCCGTCTGACATGGTAGGACCTAGAAGAACGATTGTTCCAGCCAGTATAGCTCGGTTGCTTCATCACGATAGGCAAGCCCGACCACCACGTCAAGGTAACAACAACGGTCGCACGTGGGAGTCGAGCTAAGAATTTTCGGTCATGCACGAAGGCGCTTAACCTCTAGATCATTCAGCTGGCATTCAACAGTGTCAATGCCTGATTTAAAACGAAACATAAAAATTCTTCTGCTATATCTAATTCCTTAGTTTATCATGATCATAACATTCCTTCGTATTTTGTTAATTATTTCTTAACATATGTTTGTTTTCTCTTCGTCATCATTCCATATTCTTTAAGTGAATAACTGTTTTTTTAATCTTATTTTGATACTTATTGCTTCGCATCATATTTCTACGTGTTATTTCATTACCATTAACTTTTAACTATTACGTAACTTAAGATTCGGATTGTTTTTTTTTATATTTCTGCTAATGAATGATGATGCAGTAGTTCTATTCTTATTAAAGACTAATGTGCCCCCGAATGGCCTGATACGGCCGAGAGTTGGGAGAGTCAGCTCTCCCTCTCGAAATGCGTATATAGCCTCTGCCAGCGAAGTCCTACTCACTGCCTTCTCGTTGCACTACTGTTGTTTACGAAATTGAGAGGACGGCGCTATAACCGGGTTGGTGGACATGAGACACCCATCCAGGGGAGTTTGAAAACCCTGATTCCAAACCAAAGGTGCACATGGGCTCCAGTATCTTGATGGAACAAATGTCGTACGAACTAATTATTGTTCACCGGCTACCATGGGACGGCATCTCCTTACGATGCTCCACTGCCTTATGGATCAGATCTTCAGGTCGAAGGCTTGTGGTGTAGCTCCACTGCCTTGTGGACCAGATCTTCAGGTCGAAGGCTCCGGGTGTGGCCCCCTAAGAAAACCACTTGCTTCGGTTTGGGCAGATGGGCAGTATCACAGTCCTCACACAAATCAATTGAGATTCGTGTGGCGCATATATATTTGGTGCCTCCTTGTACCAATATCTATGTGTTAAAATAAAATAAATAATAAAAGATTAATGTACGTGAAAAATGACTAGAATAATAAAATTACACAGTTTTAGTCAATGATATCATCAAAGAGAAGATTTTCTCTGCTGAAACATCTTCATTTTGCTAAATGATTATTCAGTGAATTTCTTTTGTTGTCTTCTGTATTTATTTATAAATGCTTTACTAACGTTGGTCCAACCGTAGCACCTACATTGACATGGTGATTAATATTGCTGATTGTGATGATCTATTCAGGTTGAAATAGGCTAAAATACTTGTTTTTTTAGATCCTACCATGCTAGATAAATTTGTTGGAAGGCAGGGTAAGAGACATAAGGTCCACAAACACAACACGGAGAACAGCAGTCCAATCACTCTTGATGACAAAACTCTGGAAGATGTGGAATCCTTCACATACCTGGGAAGCATCGTCGACAAACAAGGAGGTTCAGATGCAGATATAACGGAGAGAATTGGCAAAGCAAGGACAGCATCCCTTCAATTAAAGAACATATGGAACTCAAAACAAGTGTTTCTCAACAAATATCAAAGTCAGAATCTTCAATACGAACGTCAAGGCAGTTCTACTGTACGGAGCTGAAACTTGGAGAACTACAACAACCATCATCAAGAAGGTACTCAACGTCCATTGGCCGGATACCATCAGCAACAGCCTTTTGTGGGAGAGAACCAACCAGCTTCCAGTGGAAGAGGAAATTAGGAAAAGACGATGGAAATGGATAGGACATACATTGAGGAAATCATCAAACTGCATTACGAGACAAGCGCTAACTTGGAATCCTGAAGGGAAGCGGAAAAGAGGAAGGCCAAAGAACACATTACGTCGGGAAATAGAAGCGGATATGAAAGGGATGAATAAGAACTGGAAAGAGCTCGAAAGGATTGCCCAGGATAGAGTTGGATGGAGAATACTGGTGAGCGGCCTATGCTCCTTCACGAGGAGTAACAGGCGTAAGTAAGTAAGTAAGGGCAAGAAACATAAAGTATAAGGTCAAAGCCATAAAGTTATTTGTACTGTGTGGTTGTGGTGGTGGTAAGGTGTTTCTCTTCAAACAACTCACACTCTCTACGATGGTGCCTTATTACAACCAGAGGGTTTTTTAAAAATATCCGACCCGAAAATAGAGCAGCTTAATTTGCTCTATGGATTTTCCATGCCGATATAAAGGCGTAAAAAGTAAAGTGGTGAAACATCGTAATCTACTAACAATTAACTAACTTCAAGCAGTTATTCCTTAATCTCTGTGATCATGTATCTTCGACTTCAAGACTATTTTTTTATTTGAAAACATAAATATTGGTACAAAGGGGCACCGAATATATATGCACCACGCAAGTCACTTGATTTGTGTGTGTGTTGTGTTACTCCCCGGGTGCCCAGACCGAAGACGGTAGTTTTCTTAGGGGATCACACCCGGAACTTTCGACCTGAAAGTCTGATCCGCAAGACAGTGGAGCAACGTTAGGAGATCCAGTCCAATAGTAGTCGGTGACCAACGATTGGTTCATATGCCATTTGTTCCCTTAGGATACTGGAGCCCATGTGCACCATTCCTTTGGAATCAGGGTTTTCCAATCAACTACCCTAGATGGACTCTTCGTGTCCACTAACCCGGTTAAAGCGTCGGACATTCGCTTCTCGTCCACTCAATTCCGTAAAAAAACACCCCCGCCTCGAGAAGGCAGTGAGTAGGACTTCACTGGTAGAGGCTATATATACGCGTGACCATGCGAGAGCGGACTTTCCCCAATCTCAATCTTACCAGGGTATTTTTATGAATTGGGAAATCGGGAAGCAATAACCGTTATTATACCTTTAACAGCACTTGAGATCATTCACAAAATTATTGTGTAAATTAAAATTACAATCTATTGTATTTAATTAGTTTTCTTTTACTTTTGTTAGTTGCTTTATCTATTAAACAATGAATTCATCTATTAATGACTACAAAAAAAAAACAATTGTATGCTTTACACTTGAGTTTTTCTATAATGTTCTGTTCTGTTCTGTTCTGTTCTTGTCCCAATCTCTTTAAACAAGGCATAATTAATAGTTAATAATGGTATACATCAATACAAGTTAAAACGATCATACAAAACACTTCAGAAAATGAATCCTAATTTGAAGTATTGACCTGTATAGTTCACAATAATCTCATTCTTAAGAGAAAAAAAAAAGAAGCAAATTTCAAGATTCATTAAAATACGTAAGGTTGATAATAAAATGGCTTAACTTTCAAGAGAAAAAAAAACACAACCCTAATCACTAGAACAAATTAGAGTATAGCAACAAAATTATTATTAGGACAAACTTAACGAAAAAGAATGGAGATACACAGAATTGACCTAACAACTTATTTAGTTTAAAGGAAATTTGTAGTAATAGTAATAATGATGATGCTTACCAGATAAACAATCAGTCAGCTACAACGTAAGATCAATCAGGCACATATGTGCATCGGTCCAAGTTGCCATACCTCATTAACACAACAAGATGAACACTGGATTCATAGAAGCAGTCACTTCAATGGTTGTAATATATAAAAGACAGACTTTGTATAAACATATAATACAAGAATAAACAATTAGTTTGTAGAAAGAAAGATATAAAGCAATTTTAACCTCATAGTTCAAGCGAAGATAGAGGGTGTATACAGGGCCGCCATTGTGATCGATTCTGAGACATGTCGTACAGCCTCAAATCATTGATTACGATAGTCACGCACACCCCAACCAAGTAGTCTGCATCAACAAACATGGTTAAGACTAGAAGCACTGATATCATGTTTTGGTTTGGTCACCCTTAACATTTTTCCTATCATTAATAATACTAGTCAGCATTGCGCGTCGTGGTAATCGATGTTCAGGTATACATGAAATGTGGTCCAACCATCTCAGTCAATTCAGATTAACAATCTCATCAACTGATTTAACATCATTCCTTAATACCCTGTGTTTAACCTAACTATTGCTTACCCGGTGATCTTAGCAGATGTGAGCAATATTTGTAAGACATCTGTGATCAAATACTAGTAGCTTACGAGTATCTTCTACTCTTATTGGCCACGTTTTACAGCCATAAAGTAGAACAGAACGAACTGCCGCGCAGTATACTCGTCCTTTTAATTGACAGACAGATATCTCACCTTCGCCATAGGTAACATAAGTTGGCGAAAGCCAAGCGAGCTTTTCTAATCCATGCTGAGATTTCGTCAGACATCAACCCATTGGGGCTGATCAGACTTCCAAATTAAGTGAAGATGTCAACGCTCATTAGATTATCATCTATCTAAAGAAAAACAGAATCACTGAAACTTAATACTAACAGGATAGAGTATTGACTATGCCATATTAGCATAATCAAATTAAAACGCGAGTATGTTGACTGGTTAATTAACCAGGGCTAATAGAGGAATTGAGAGATTGTTCTGTTAATTCCATATAGACTTAAATATTTTCATCAATACTGTATATTTGAAATTCTTGGACTGATTTAGGAAGAGTTGAGTGAAGCAATATATTCCAACAAATACTAGACAGTAAGGGGAACATAACACATCTAAGCAATAAATTTGCCATACAGTCAGGAAACAAAACTAAAAAAAAAAAAAAAACTCTATCGATTTAATTCTACTGAGCGCTACTTACTTCGGCACCTTTTTGTAGTAGTTCACTGATATCTTTCGCATCAAGTACATTAATGATATCAATAACTTGTTTGTTTATTGAATAATTATTATTGTTCATTGAAACAAATGATTTAGATACAATCGATGACGGTGCTCGTAAACCAGACTTGGTTTTATTTAATGGTAATGAACTTTTGTTGGAAGTTGATGTAATATGACGAGGTTCATAATGTCGATATACATCTTCAGTACTATTATTATTATTACTACTACTATTGTTACTATATTTTAAGGACAATTTTGAATCATTGTGATTTGTAGCTGAAGTTAAAATTAGAAAGAGACCAATATAAGTTTATATACATATATAATGCATTAAAGTGAAAAGCACAAGCCATAATGACCCAAAAAAAAACCTATCAATCACTAACTTCAGTTAGGATTGTAAGCTGTGATATTTAATAACATCTAAGTTCAATGGAAATTTTCACCAAAATTTTGATAGAATACTTATCCAAAATGATGATGACGCAACTCGTTTACTAAGTACACTGTTGCGCCACAATATTTGTACAAGGCTTAGTATTACTGTGCTGTGTGTTACTTATGTGGAAATAAGTAGTATATGACGTGAGTACTGAACAGAATGTCTGGAAGCAGAGAGACAAGAAGACCGAACAATAAACAATGAAGAAAGAATGCAATTTTTATGAAAATGCAAGAACAAAGGGATTCTAAGTTATTTGAGACAAGTGATGAACAATTTGCAAATTAACGATATAATATATGGTTGTTGGATTTTACTAACCAGTTCTGTTATTTGTTGTTAAATACATTTGGTTGTCCCCACCAGCGTTCTGCTTCACTACAGTACTACACGTTTCAGATGAGCTAATAGGAAAAAAACTGAAGTAGAATTTTAAATTACAGCTTATTAGTTGAAAGTTGAGTACTTTGACCACTAATCATTGATTGTACATTTGAATTAAGTTGATACTGTTTTAGTGTTAATATAACGAAGCGATCTTGGTTAAACAACCATTGAAGTCTGAGCAGCTATTTTTTCCTAGCGTGGAACTCTTCAGGAGTGAATTTTCACGATTTTCGCCACCAAGGGGTTGAACTTAGAACCTTTGATCTTGCATGCAAACGACTAAGCTATAAACCACTGAGCCGAGATCTACTAGTTATCATGCTTAACCTCAATTAATTTGTAATATCTTGTAACCATCTTCTAATGTACTTCATAGGTGACTGAGTCGTACTCGACATAATTGTATGCCACTAATTGAGATTTCTTATTAGACTACAATACTAGAACAAAACTGATTAACGCTACTTGGCTTTTAATAGTTCTTTAATTTAACTCAGTCTATGATGATAAACTAAAATAAACGAAGTTAGTTCACAGTAACGACTTGTTGATTTTGATGGAAAAAAATATAACTGCTGTTGGTACTTTTAAAAATCGTTTCACATAGGAAGAATTGGCTTAAAGTAAACAACACTTGTTGTAGATTACTCATCACCAGCTGACAAGTGAATTGATACGAATGAGTCAATTGTGTCAGGTTTATCAGAAAAGATGTCTGCCTATAACTAACCTGAATAGTAAAATTAACATTAGTATCAGAAGGGGTTTTGTTGAGATTGTAGTAATTTCAATAGTTGAGATCATGAGCCAGCTGAAGCTAGACCACCATGGAAAACCTGGAAGCACTGAACGGCTGTTTCGTCCCATTGTGGAACTCCTCAGCAGTGCGCATCCACGACCCTGCCTAGCGGGATTCAGACCCATGAGTCCCACAATAGGACGAAACGGCCGTACAGTGCTTCCAGGTTTTCCATGATGGTCTAGCTTCAATTGGCTCATGATCTCAACTATTAAAATTAACATTATTAAATCATGTTGAGAGAAAAAACACATCAAAACTGGTGAATATATATTACGGTATTTACCTTTTGTGATATCTGCTCCGATTGATGCACAATTAACTTTGTTAGTCATTTGAATTTGCTTTATCTGATTATAAGTAATAATACTATTACTCTTACTGTTGCTACTGCAATTCACAGTGACAACAGTAGTGCTTGTAGTAGAAGTGATAGACGCTCCAGTAGATGCATGATTATGTTTAAGTGTTATCGCATTATTCATTATCGCTGGATTCACATTCTGATACGAAGTTTCTTGTTGATGTTGTTGTGCATCGTCGGAGCCATGATCTAAAAAATGTATTGTACCAGCGCCCTTATTAAAAGATTGTGCAGTGATATTATTATTATTATTATTATTATTATTATTATTATTATTATTATTATTATTATTATTATTATTACTCGACTTTGCAACAGCAGTATTATTCAAATTATGACCAGGTATTTTAGACTTTTTCAGAGAGAGGTTTCTATTATTATTATTAGTACTACTACTAATTTTACTTCTAATACTACTACTATTACTACTACTACTACCATCTTGTGAATACTGAGCTCTGGGATTTGCTGATATACATGATAAAGTTGTCGGTACTTTGTAAACAGATAAATCTCTATACGGACGTATTTTAGATAACGGTAATGATGATGACGATGATAATGATGTATGACAATGATTAATCGCTTCTTCATGGTTACTTGATTTACAATAATCCACATTATCATTATTATTGTTATTAACATTATTGTTTTCAAAAGGACTTGTAGATTCATGCTCCGTTGAGTCCAAATTTAATGCCGGTGATATTGATGGTTGTTGCTGTTGTGATGATGACGATGAAGACGACGATGACAATGATGATGATGATATTGAAGATGATGACTGCTGACACGTTTGTTTTTTCTGTTGACAATGTTGCTGTTTACGAAGCATTGATATTGATTTTGGACGTGGCATCGCTGATGATATACATTCTTGCAATAACGAATGTTCCATACCAACTGATTCAATACTGAGTAATGAAGAAAAAGAACTAACGTCGTCTTTGTCACCAACGGTATACTGAAACGGAGATGATGATGACGATGGTATTGATGAATTCGGTAAATGTATACTATCATTATTCTGTTGTCCATTTTCATTCTGATTTAAACACGATTTGGACGATTGTTCTGATATATCTGAATCGAACACAGAAAGTTAAATTTATAAGTGATGAAAACAGCATGTAGTGTACTAGAAAACGTCAGATATTTCATCAATAAAACTATTCTAGATAACTCGAGGCAATCGGATTAAAACTTTAAACCTTGGCTTTACTCTGAATGTCACTAATCAGCAAGATGTATCCATATGACGAAAAAAACATCTTATGTAGTCAGTCCTCACAGATTCCAATTTGTGGGTAAACATCACAGAACATAAATTCAAAACTGGGAATCTAATAATTGGAAATAAATATAGCATTAAATCCCATTTTATAGATAAATCAACCAACATGAAACCTGAGCCCAGAAATTTATGTCAACTACTTTTAGCCAATCGTAACAGTAAACTAAATGCAAAGTACAGTGTCAAGTATATTGGGTAACAGACTTATATCAATTAAAAATGATACCGCATAAACCAGCATAGTGAGTGAGGATTGACAAGTTGAAAAACAACAAAAGTTATAATGATACCAGTGTTGTTGAAAAAATGGAACAAATGAAATCGACAAATTTCAATTTAATAATGTGTTTTACCGTCAAATTGATGGAGTTGCCATGGGTAGCCCGTTGGGCCCAATTCTTGCTGATATATTTATGGGATACCTGGAACAAAAAGTGCTTAAGCACGCAATCGACACTACTACATTATACTGTATATACATGGATGACACATTTCTTGTCTGTAACAATCATAAGCATGCTATTAGACTACTCAATCTGTTCAATAAAGCACATAAGAATATAGAATTTACTATGGAAAAGGAAGTTGAAGGTAAATTCCATTTCCTGGATATCGGTATCAGTCGAACACCTGATGGCACATTACAGAGACACATTCATCATAAAAATACTTGGAGTGGGCTATATCTTAATTATTATAGTTTTTGTCCAATGGGTTTGATACGAACACTTTTTGACCGCGCTCGAAAAATTTGTTCAAAGGAATGCCTGGACGATGAGATCACTCTCATCACTAATTCTCTACGTGAAAATTCATACCCGTTGAAATTTATCCACAAATATACAAAAAGCCAATCCTCAGACAAAGTATGATAGAGTTGAAAAGAAATCTTGCTTCTTATATCTACGTTTTAAAGGAGATGAAATCGCTGGCTTAATTAATCACAGACTAAATTCCGCGTTGAAAGTTGCTTACCCAGCAGCAAAATTAATGACAGTATGGAAAACGAACTGCTCACTTAAAGAAACTAAAATCGACAAGTCCTCTTTTTTTAATAGCTCCAACTGCATTTACCAATTCACATGTACGTGCCAAAGCACATACATTGGAAGAACTGAGAGAAGAGTGCATGTTCGCATTTCTGAGCATATTCCAAAGAACTTGAGGCTGCGAGGGACTAAGGTTCTTAACAGTGCAATAGCTCGGCATTTACTGGACACCGGGCATACCATTGATATTTCACACGCTTTCAAAATTATCAATAGACACCGAAGTACTACTACACTCTGTTTCGCGGAAGCGATTGCGATAAAAAAAACTTAAACCGGATTTATGCATTCAAAAAGTGACGTTAGTAAACTTATCATTACCCTGGTAACCTTTTTGTGTGTGTGTGTGTTATTTTATTTTCAAAATATTTATTTTGGGTTATATCTCCCCCCATTACTTTTCATTCACACATTTCCGCCCACTAATCCTCTTAAATTATGTTAACCTTTCGAATTCTGTTCAATTATTACGTAACTTATCTTATCACATAAATAAATAATATATTTGTAATATCCCAATGAGTAGAAAAATTAGATTTTCTGACGTTTCGTGACTTAGTGTAAGTCACTTCTTCAGAGAATAAATAACCAAATTAAAATCAATCCAAGTCTAAATCGTATAACGGAATAATACAAGAATCTTATCACGGTTCTAATACCTATAAAATAATTATCACACTATGTATAAACTCCATTCAACTATTATATTACCCATCGTTAATTGTTTCTTTAATTCTAACACCATCCAACCTCTGACCTGTTCTAGCATATATATATATATATATATATATATATATATATATATATATAGTTATTATTGTATTTATTTATTTTAACACATAAGTATAGGTACAGGGAGGCACCAAGTACATATGCGCCACACGAATCTCAATTGATTTGTGTGAGGGCTGTGATACTGTCCGGGTGCCCAAACCGAAGCAGGGTTATTATTGTAAACCTTTGCCATTCCAGTTATTTACATACATTTATGCCAATTGTTTTACACTATCTCAATGTAAAAAAAAATTTATCGCATATTTGGTTGTAAGCAGCTGACGAGAAACCTCGAATTATTATGAATTCATACTATTCTGCATCAATATTTGTTTTTGCTTTATTGAAATCGACAAAAGATCACAAATCTTAAACGAATATTTTGAGAAGTGAATGCAACTATGCTAATAAGACTGATTTGAAGGTAAATTCTTCAAAGTTTCCAACAAATAGATTACGACTAATCTAAATATACTTAAAGTGATCCGTGAAATCCTAACAGTACAATGCAACAGACAAGATGTTAGTGTATTTCTCAGTCAGTGATCAACGGATGAATATGTAAACGAGATAAGTTTGAGTGCCAAGTGCCCTGGTACGGCCGAGAGTGGGGAGAGTCCGCTCTCCCACGGCCACGCGTATATAGCCTCTGACAGGGAAGTCCTACTCACTGCATATTTTCGTTTCAAATTGTATCTTCAATACCAAATCATTTCTATTATCACTATTACCACTAATACTACTATCATTACTCTGAGATTTTCCCTGAAAATTTCATCTTGCTGTACCAATGGGGTATAACAACTTCAGCCGATGTATACATGTTCCAGGTCTTACGTTGCGTGTGGCTGACTGACAAGATTTAAGGGACAATAAATAGTGAACGCATCCAAGTTATCTTTTTCAAGTACCCTATACCTGCCTAACCACAGTATTTCTCACTCAGTTATTTCACAATATGCGAGTAATGGTTCACAGATATCTGTGATCAAACCTCTACCATTGATCTATGCCTTCTACACTAAATGATTATATTACAGAGCCATAAAGTAATATAAAGCATTAGCATAGATAGTATAAAGGATTTTCAAAAACCTACACCCGGTGAATAGTTTTTCTTTAAAAGTTTATTACGTTCAAATAATACTTACTTTGAGAACGAGAAACAATAGGTGAATTTAATGAATGACATTTACTTTGTAACATTGGTGCAACTGTTGCACGTGGTCTTGTTAAACCAGAAACTTGAGTAAATGGATCTGCAATACTAGTTAATGCAGATGTTGTACGAAGTGGTGGAATCGGAGGAGTTGTATTCGATTGTTGACATGGAACAGTTGACAATGATGATGGCGATGCAAGAGTTAAAGACATATTAGAAGTCATTAATATTGCATCCGTTGTTGTTGTTTTTGTTGGTAATAATGCTGAATGAATACCTATTTCATCATGACGAAGAGAAGATGAACTTGACAATAAGTTCTCATTAACAACAACACATGGAGTACCTTCAATGGCATACGTTTGCAAACAATCATCATTTGACGATGATTGATCAATTACTGAACAAAAATTAGTTAATCTAATTTGACCAGATTTTGGCATAGCGGATTGTATTACTTCAGATAATAAATCTGATGAATTATCACCATTCAAAGAGCTTGATGTTGATGAACTACCATCACCATGACTGACAGCAACATTTTCTGTATGACATTGTTTGATTAAATTCTTTGCAGCATGCTTTATTGTGTGATGATTAGATATTTGTATATTGAATGATGATGCGGAATTAGAATTCAATTCACTATCAACCATTAGTTCGTTACCTTCCTCACATTCTCCTTCTTCTTCGACTTCTAATGGTTTATGTTCTGTTATGATTAAATCATTTAATGAACTAGTTTTCGTTGAAGTCCCAAATGGTGTATCTTCTACAGCAAATGTTTTTAAAGAATCTTCTGGTTCATTGTAAAGAATACTTGTTGATGGTGAGTTAGTAAAATTTATATTCGATGATTTGTGACCTGTTAATACATTAAAAGGAATATTTGATGGCATTGCAGATGCTATACATTGTTGTAGTATTTGTGAATGATTATTATTGTCATTATTGTCTTCGTCCTCGTCATCATCATCATCAACAACATCATTCACTTCACAATCATTGTTCAAATTACTGTTCATATCAGATTGGTTGTAAGAATGTGAATGATGAAAATACAAAGTATTCAAATTTTCTGTATCATCTTTTGGAGGTGGGGGTGTACCTTCTTCAGCGAAAGGCAATCGAACATCTTCTTCATCAGGACAACTATCTGTCTCATATAATTCACCATCACAATTTTGACGATGATTTATATTTCTGAAATGACTATTTCTTTTACTACTACTACTACTATTACTACTACTACGACCGTTATCTTCGTCATTACGATTAATTGACATTAATTCACTACTTATTCTCTCTCTGCTATTACTACTTTTTTGTTGACTGGAATATTCACTTTCCGGTGATGACTGATATTCGTTAAATGGAACTTCTAAGTCTAACGAAGATATACATGATGATGTACCTCGTGAGAATACTAATGGTGTTTGTTTAGAAGAGAATAATTCACTTTGTCTATCAATCAGTTCAGATTCTTTACGAACTACTGGAAAAGATGCTGGTGGAGGTGGCATAGGGAAATGACAAGTTACACATTGATCACTTTCTACTTCTAAATTCATTGATGTTAATGGAGAGACAAGATTCGAGATATCTTCTGGTGGTGAGGGCAGGTAGGCATTATCCTCCTGTTCATTGACAATATCGGAATGAGTTAGAAAATTCATTTTTTGGGGGCGATTGAATCCCATTGTATTCAATTGAACTTCATTACCATTTATACTATCCTCATGACTTAAACTACTATCGCAGTTCGATGGTGTACCCTCGATAGCATAAACATGAGGAATTGGATCATTTCGATAGATCAATATTGGGACATTACTATGTACTTTATCGTTATCGTTACTATTATTATGATTTATATGCACATCATTAACAGTATTGAAATTAGTATTTGCTTTATTCATTAAAAACTGTTCATCAGATCTATTCAACTCCAAAGATGATGCAGTTGCTGAATTCGATGGAAAAGGTGTACCTTCTTCAGCATAGACACATGTTTGTTCATCATCTGCACCTGCATCAACGACCGTATTAGCACTACGATTAACTTGATGATGTCCATGACAATTTATTTCATCGTACCAATTTGATAAATGTTGATGATTAGTCGATTCAGGTAACAGAATTTGAGAATCACATAAGCTTTCTGAATTCCGATTACTTGATGTTTTCACAGTGATATCTCTATAGTTAGGATGGTCATTGATAGGTATTCCACCTCGGTAGTATAAGCATAGGTTGTTATTTGGCTCATATTCAACCTGTTCATTGTATTCATTAATACAGTCATTTTGTTCAGTAGTGTGACCATCCACTTCATTTTCCACCTCTACTTCATCTTCAGTTTCATCTACATCATCATCATCAACATCATCGTCTAGTTCATCGTCACTTTCCGCTTCAAATACTACAGATAATAGACCAAAACGAAATCTAGATGTTCTTGATGACACACGACGTTTACAAGTTGGTTGTTGTTGTTGTTCTCCACTTGTCTGTTCTGAATTATTGACATTATAGTATGTATCACCACCACTACTACGACCATCAGTAGTACTGCACGCATTTTTCTCATTACTTACCATGTGATGTTCATGAGAATTTATGGTCATACCAGTTGTTACCGTCGATGATGACTCACTGAGTTGATTTTCTTGTGAATTAACTTGATCTGAATTATATATTGGTGGAATCAAATGTTTCTGATTAGCAGGTTTATCTGTCTGTATTAGATTACGATAGACAGCCAATGAACTAGTACGTATTAAATCATGTTTGGATTGAGTTAGCTGTTGTATTAAATCTAATGCACCCAAGTGTAAAAGAAGCAAACGATCATTATAACTATTGATGATACTATTATTATTAGTAGTAGAGTTACTGTTGTTACCATTACTAATTGGAATAGTGTTTACATTATTGATGGAAGAACATGTTAAATTCCATAATGTTCCGCATACATTTACTACAACTGTTAAACTTGGTGGATTACGCAATAGTTCCAATAGGATTGGATAACCATTATTTTGATGAAGTATAAACCTAAAGACAAACAGAATGGACAACAACACATTCATTATAATCAATAAGCACAGAGAGAGAGAGAGAAAGAACGAATGTATAGTTCTATTCATTACAAGCAATTAACTAACTTATACAACTTTTAAACCGATATTTGTACTCCTATTAAATTATCAAAAAGATTGGATTGACTGTGAAGATAAATTTTTTAAGCCAAATGTGAAGTTGTACCTACTGGGCGAAGAAACTAAGGACACCCGGTTGATTATAACAAAATAAATTTAAAAGGCTTTGAACTTGTGAATAATTGGTGTTCAAAAATTAGAGGATCAAGTTAGTGCTGTACAATTCCAACTAAATCTTACAATTATACATTAAAAATAACTGTTATTAATAGCTGTATATACAAGTATCCATAAATGTGATATATGCAACATATGAAGACAGATATAAGTAGTATGTAGCCACAATCGGAAGTTGAATGCCTGGCAGCAGAAGATTGAATTGAAGAGAACAGAAAGGAAATAGGAGAATAATCAAAATAACAACAGACTTAGAGGAATAATATAATATGTAAGGAATAACGCAAAGATATGCCAATAATGTATTTCATGTATGATTTTCTTATTTTACTAAGCCGCTGTGTAATTTTGAATTAAACAATAAATTGATTTCTCACATTTCATTTCACTACATGAGTATTAAAGTTTACGTTTAGTAGGCGGATTGTTATTTAGTCGAATCGTCGTAATGTACGTAGGAATTGACATTACAAACACTAAACATAAAGAATGTTGAGTTTAAAAATAGGGAGTACATTCACTGGAAGAAAAATAAGAAATAATACCGATTCTTAGAATTCAAGGAAGAATAGTAAATGAATTCACTTTTTCCATTAAGACTGAATTTAAGCTATACTACCGAAGATCTCCCTGATTACTGATTAAAATTATCACGCGAATGCCAAAACAGGACGTCTGCAAGTACCAAAACAAAGTTTGAGCGAATATATCAGGTTATCACCTTAAGAGAATGCTAGTCATGTGCATTGAATAAAATAACTTTAGTCACTGAAAGGAGTACATTCACCATATAAAGGCTCTCTACTCGAACACAACTGGTCGAGTGAGAGCTTATGGTGAACTGTCATCACAATTGATTACTTCAAGTGGTGTTCGTCAGGGCTGTCCACTCTCTCCATTCTTTTTTAGCTTTATCATAGACCAGCTTTTAGAGATGACACTTTCCGCATCTCAATTTCCAGGAGTTGAACTTCTACCAGTAGATTCAATTGTTGACTTGGAATATACCGATGACATAGTTCTATTTGGTGAAGACGCTGACAAAATTCAGTCTTCTGACCAGGCTAAGCAACAATGCAGGCATGTTCGGCATACGATTCTCTCCCTCGAAATACAAAATGTTGCTTCAAGATTTGGTTGCATCGACACCCGAACTAATGATAAGTAGTGAAGTAGTTGAGCGTGTCGACCGCTTCACTTATCTCGGAAGTCTCATCAGCCCTTGTGGTTTGGTGTGTGACGAAATCTCAGCACGGATACAAAAGGCTCGACTAGCTTTTGCCAACTTGCGTCATTTGTGGTGTAGGCGAGATATCCGTCTATCAACCAAAGGACGTGTTTACTGAGCAGCAGTTCGTTCCGTCCTACTTTATGGCAGTGAAACATGACCAGTAAGAGTAGAGGATATTCGTAGGTTACTAGTATTTGACCATAGGTGTCTTCGAAACATTGCTCGTATATCCTGGGACCATCAAGTAAGTAATGCAGTTGTTAGGAAACGGGTACTAGGTAAGGATGGCAAATCAATTGGGGAAGTAGTGAAACTTAATCAGTTGAGATGGCTGGGACATGTGTTACGTATGCCCAACCACCGACTGACCCGACGTGCGATGTTCAATGATATAGGAGAAGTTAGAAGAAAGTTAGGGGTGGTCAGACCAAAACATGACACAAATCCATGAAGTCACTGACAAGTGGACTGAGTCATGTTGATAGGTGTAGACTACCTGGTTGGGGATCGCGAAATGATAGCAACCGATGGTTAGAGACCTTGAATGACATGGCTCAAAATCGTTTGCAATAGCTCATGTGCATTTACTCTTTGTGTTCTCCCAAATTCTCCACGCTTCGTCGTTTCTCCTTCAAAATTTATTTCACTGGATTATACTCTTTGAATAACATCTTCAAACTCTAATGTTTTCGATTACTGCTTATACTTTGACTACCTCTAACACTATGGGAATTAAATTGACAATTGCGTCTCTGTGTTAATATGGTATGGCAACTCGAACTGATGTACGTACGTAAGAAGTTCTCCGTTGTTACTGACTGACTGACTTTAGTCATATTGATTTGATGCTTATCCATTTTAGACACCTAAGTGTGATAGCATATAGCCAAAATGAAACTGTACATTGAATTATTTTTCTTATACAAATAACAAGTACATAATAAATGAAAACAAAACTCACCGATAATCATCATGAGAAGCGATAATTGTGGATATATTACGTAAAATACCACCACTATTTTCAATAATTACCAGATTTTGCAGAGGGTTTTGAAGACGTAACATTCTTAGAAGAAATGCAAATACACCATCCACACTTGAAATGAAAAATTACAGAGTAAAAGATTAGATTTCATGTTTAAAATGATATTCCAAACGGATCCTATTACATTTAAGTAATATGTAGTTAGCAATCAAATTCAAAATAAGCATTTCGTCTTATTTGAGACATATCAACTGAATATATTTACATCCCAGTGATATACAGACTAAAACTAGAATCTAGGACTTTATGCTACAGACGCTAACGCGTTACCCATTGAGTTTATAATATTACATGTCATTCACAAAATGTTGTTGAAGAAAGAATATCTGCTGATCTCATTCGGAATTTTGTTTGTTGGAGACAGATAATGGACTTGCGCAATTAATGAAAATGATATAACAGTTAAGATTACTGGTGCCCCAATGCACTCGATAACACAACAGATTGAGAAGTATTCATTAGATCCTAGAGTGAGTAAACGATTTTCTACTGATATCTGAAACAAATTGAACCGTCATATATATATATATATATATATATATATATATATATATATATATATATATATGACCCCAAATGCCGAGAGTGGGGAGAGTCTGCTCTCCCTCTCGAAATGCTCTCACATGAACACGTGTATATAGCCTCTGCCAGCGAAGTCCTACTCACTGTCTTCTCGTGAAGGGGGTGTTTCTTACGAAATTGAGAAGACGGAAAGCAGATGTTCGGCGCTTTAACCGGGTTAGTGGACACGGAGAATCCACCTAGAGGAGTTGAAAAACCCTGATTCCAAACCAATGGTGCACATGGGCTCCAGAATCCTGAGGGAACAAATGAGGTATGAAATTATTATTGGTCACTGACCACCATGGGACTGCATCTCCTCACATTGCTCCACAGAGTTATGGATTAAACTTTTAGGTCAAAGGCTCCGTGTGTAGCACCCTTAGAAAACCACCTGTTTCGGTTTGGGCAACCACACAGTATCTCAGCTCTGATACAAATCGAATGATCTATGTGGCACATATGTATTCGGTGCAAGGAAGGCAAGATAATCACCAACATTGAAGAACAACGAAACAGGTGGGTAGAACACTTCAAAGAACTCTTGAATCGACCAGCCCCACTAAACCCTACCCAACATCGAAGCAGCACTCACGGACCTCCCAATTGATGTTGGCGCACCGACAATTGAAGAAATCAACATGGCTATCAGACAAATCAAGAGTGGCAAAGCAGCAGGACTAGACAGCATTCCAGCAGAGGCACTCAAAGCAGAAGTAGCGGCAACTGCAAGGATACTCCAAACTCTATTCAGAAAGATCTGGGATGAGGAACAGGTACCAAAAGACTGGAAAGAAGGACTTCTAGTCAAAATACCAAAGAAAGGCGATCTCAGCAACTGTAACAACTACAGGGGAATCACTCTTCTTTCAATACCAGGAAAAGTCTTCAACAGGGTATTGTTAAACAGGATGAAGGACTCCGTAGACGCCCAACTTCGAGACCAACAGGCAGGATTCCGTAAGGATAGATCGTGCACAGACCAAATCGCAACTCTACGGATCATTGTGGAACAATCAATTGAATGGAATTCATCACTGTATATCAACTTCATCGACTACGAAAAAGCATTTGATAGCGTGGACAGAACAACCCTATGGAAGCTTCTTCGACACTACGGCGTGCCTCAGAAGATAGTCAATATTATACAGAATTCCTATGATGGATTAAACTACAAAATCGTGCATGGAGGACAGTTAACAAAGTCGTTCGAAGTAAAGACCGGTGTTAGGCAAGCTTGCTTACTCTCACCCTTTCTCTTTCTCCTGGTGATCGACTGGATCATGAAGACATCAACATCTGAAGGGAAGCACGGGATACAGTGGATAGCTAGGATGCAATTGGATGATCTAGACTTCGTAGATGATCTGGCTCTTCTATCGCATACGCAACAACAAATGCAGGAGAAGACAACCAGTGTAGCTGCAGCCTCAGCAGCAATAGGTCTCAATATACACAAATGGAAAAGCAAGATTCTTCGATACAACACAGCATGTAACAATCCAATCACAATTGACGGAGAAGCTTTGGAAGATGTAAAAACCTTTACATATTTGGGCAGTATCATCGACGAACACGGTGGATCTGATGCAGATGTGAAGACACGGATTGGCAAAGCAAGGGCAGCATATTTACAAGTTAAGAATATCTGGAACTCAAAACAATTAGCAACCAACACCAAAGTCAGAATTTTCAATACAAATGTCAATACAGTCACTTCTACTGTATGGGGCGGAAACCTGGAAAACTACGAAATCCATCGTCCAAAAGATACAGGTGTTTATTAACAGTTGTCTACGCAAAATACTTCAGATCCGTTGGCCGGACACTATAAGCAACAACCTACTGTGGGAGAGAACAAATCACATCCCAGTGAATGAAGAAATCAGGAAGAAGCGCTGGAAGTGGATAGGACACACATTGAGGAAAGCACCGAACTGCATCACAAGACAAGCCCTCATATGGAATCCTCAAGGTCGAAGGAGGAGAGGAAGACCAAAGAATACATTACGCCGGGAAATGGAGATAGATATGAGAAAAATGAACAAGAATTGGATGGAACTAGAAAAGAAGGCAGTGTGAGACAGAGTGGGTTGGAGAATGCTGGTCGGCGGCATATGCTCCATTGGGAGTAACAGGCGTAAGTAAGCAAGTAAGTAAGTTGTACCAACGTTTATGTTTATATATATATATATATATATATATATATATATATATATATATATATATATATTAAAATTAAATTACAAGTGCACTTTACCTGCATACCGCTCGCTTGTTCTGAGAACAATGAGCGCTAAGATTCCATAGTGCACTGAGTGTAGTCCGTAAAGTACTTTCTCGTTGTGCACTCATAGCAGCTATAGTTAAACGTTTAGCAGCACAGACACGACGAAGTGCAGCTTTACTTCTACTATCTGTACGCCAACTGAGATTGCGTAATACACTGGCTGATACCTAGAAAAACACATTTCATACAAATCATAAAGTATATCTAAGATTAAAAGGAGTTGGTTTTTATAAGAACCTTATATGAATAAATACAATAATATTTAGTCAAGAAATAACATCACAATTTGAACAGTTACAACTGGTTTTGACGGAGTTGCATTCTCTGAACTAGGTGGTTTAACTGTGAAGCTTTGATTATCTTGACAGTGACTAATTACTGAGAAGTGAAAGATGTTAAGGTGGCCTCTCAATATACTAAAGTTCAGAATTTCTATCATTGAGTACCAAATCAAAGATCTAAAAGTCTATTGTTCGATCTGATAGAATCATAAATGCACCAAGAAACTTCTATCCAATGTTCGCTGTGTTATTTAATGGCTATTCGGCAAAAACGGTATTCAAACTCTTCATGATATTATAAATTGTGAGTGTGCAGCTCTCAGTAATGATTTTAGCCAAGGATTTACTTTGACCAGTCATAACCACAATACCAAGTTCATCAAAACCAGACCAATGAACATTATAATATCAAAAAGGGGTTTTGTGAAGATTGTAGAAATTTCACTAGCTGAAATCATGAGTCAATTGAAGCTAGAACATCAAAGAAAACCTGGAAGCACTGGACGGCCGTTTCATCCTAGTATTGGATTTCTCAGCAGAACGAAACGGCCGTCCAGTGCTTCCAGGTTTTCCTTGACGGTCTTAGCTTCAATTGACTCATGATTTCAACCAGTGGAATATTATAATATTCAAACTTATCGATGCATATATGAAACACTCAAATTGACATTAAAAAGCTAAGTAGTAGATAGAATAATAAATAGAAAAACAAACACTACACAGATAACGCATGAAAAACACAAAAATTATTACAATACACAGTACATTTATGTTAGTACGTGGTGTATAACACAAAGTCACATCTGACTAGGTTCAATCATCTTTATCACCATAACAACATATGATTAATGACCGAAAACAAGAGACAGAGTATAATTGTATAAATATCACAAGGGACAATGCAAATTAATCATTATTTCGCGCGCTTATTGATATTACATTAACTGAGATACACAAAAAAAGGGTAAAACCTATGTATGTGTAAGTATATGGAGGGAAACAACAAAAACAAATATATATTCATTACATAAATCATTATCATTATACCGTTCGATAATTTCCTTTTCAGTTTCAAAGTACAGTATAGTGAATTTAAACATGATAATCATAATATTGATATATATGTAAATAGTATCGTTAGTGTAGAACTAAAAGAAGGAGACCGAGTGCATAAGTTAATATTGAACTATTCAATTTCACTTGAATACGGTTGCAGTTATCCATTGTTGTCTATTATGAAATTATTCAGTGTGATTCAGTTAGAGATAAAAACTAAATCACTGGAAATAACTGAAATCTCTGGATACAATACACTTAGTGAACATACTGAAAACGTTGTGGATAACTTCAGTCAATGTCAGAACTCATTTTGTATTGACTGTTTAAATCTTCCCAATGATATTTGGGACTGCCATGGATCAGTCTTTTATTGGCATACGTGCATCCTGTTCGGATTGCTTCGATATTGGCCTGTTGTTGTTTTACAGATGCATAGTAATTAAGTACCACAGTCCAAATATGATGATCAGGGCCCCCAAATACCCTGGTATGGCCAAGAGTGGGATGAGGTCGCCCTCCTTCTGGAAATACTCTTTCATGACCACGCGTATATAGCCTCTGCTAGGGAAGGCCTAATCACTGCCTTCTCGTGGTGGGGGTGTTTTTTACGAAAATGAGAGGATGAAAAGCGAATGTCTGGCGCTTTAAGAGGATCCCAAATCAATGGTGCACATGGGCTAGCTCCAGTATCCTGAAGGAACAAATGGCGTATGAACCAATCGTTGGTCACCGGCTACCATGAGACAGCATCTCCTCACGATGCTCCACTGCCTTGTGGATCAGACGTTCAGGTCAAAGGCTCGGGTTGTGGCCCCCTAAGAAAACCACCTGCTTCGGTCTGGGCACCCGGGCAGTATCACAGCCCTCACACAAATCTATTGAGATTCGTGTGGCGCATATGTATTTGGTGCCTCCTTGTACCAATACCTATGTGTTAAAATAAATAAATAAATAAACATTTAACAAAAAATTAGCGAAAACATTCCGTGAAGATATAAACAACCATAATAAACACTTTTCAGTGTGTTTAATTCAAATGATATTTTGTCATAAATTGTGAACCGATAACGAGTTAACATACTTCAATATGTGTATATTTCTTGGAGTGATAGAAATCGATATCTGAAAACCTCAAAAAATCATCTGTACAATTGTATTCTATACTACTTATGTTCGCAGATTAAGTAATCTGTAACACCAGTCGGATGTGGAATATCTGCGAACAGAAACTTAAGAAGATTGAAATGAAGAGAAAAGAGAAATAGGTTGAAATCAATCAACATAACAACAAGAATGAAGGAACAATAAAGGTTGTAAGAGACAATTCGAAAAAGATTAGTAGATGATGTATTCGATATATGATTTTAACAATTTACTAAACCACCATGTGATTGTGCATTAAACAATAAATAAGTCTTCCTCACTTGAGTTTTCGTTCACCATAAAGTTAATAAAATAATTAATGAGTGAAATATCAATGACATATTGAAAGTTTTTAGGTTATCTATGATAGTGATAAACATAGTTAAGTAAAACTGGATTTGAATCTGAATACTAAACGCTACTACTACTACTACTGCCGAGACCTAACAAATAAACAAGTAAGTTCAGTGAAAAAGGTTGTATTTTATTGGAAATGGTTGGTTTATTTTATAGGCTCTACTTATCACAGATTGATCTCAATTGGAATACCACTGAAAACCAAAAAAAACAACAGAAAATTCGAACAACTATTTAATTCTATCATAGAATAAATCAGCAATGTGCACCAATGATTTCGGCAGCGATTGAATCTGAGAGCTCCAAATCTCTGAGTTTCAACATTATCCAAAATTGAGATCCAAAAGTGACGATTATATAAATATCAGAAGGGGTTTTGTGGAGATTTTAGTAATTTCAATAGTTGAAATCATTAGTCAATTAAGGCTAGAATACAATGGAAAACCTGGAAGTACTGGATGGCCGTTTCGTCCTAGTATGGGACTCCTCATTATTTCAACAATTGAAATTACCAATTCTCCACACAACCCCTTCTGATAATAATCATCTGCTCATTAATGACTGACTTCAAGAGATACTCCTAGAGTTCTAGTGAGAAGCCGTGACCGGTGGAGTTCAACCAGGTCTGTTGTAAGATATCAGCTCACTGAAGACAATGGTGACGGTGGCACAACTTCGTGAATTGGTTGAAGTTAGACATTAACACCGTTGGATACTGGCCGACTCAGTGCTCTAGTTGGTTAAGTGCCTGGCGCGAGACTGATAGGTCTTGGGTTCGAATTTCGCGGGGGGCGGGATCGTGGATGCGCACCGCTGAGGAGTCCCATACTAGGACGAAACGGCCATCCAGTACTTCCAGGTTTTCCATGTTGGTCTAGCTTGTCAATTGAAGCTAGACCAACATTTCAACTAGTGAAATTACTAATTCATCCATTCATTTATTGTAGTTGCAAATAATAATAATAATAATAATAATAATAATAATAATAATAATAATGGATATGGTCGTTCTGATGGATAAAATGTTCCAGATAATGAATTTTGTTCAGAGTGTATCCAATATAATTATTCTATAAAATAAATCATTGTCTCACTTTACACTTAGATTAACTGAATAGATAATAATAATAATAATAATAATAATCGAGCAACTCATACGTTTTCTTCGCTCTACAGCAAAACTTCTGCTCACTACTTACCAATAGAATGATAATAATAATTTTTGGATGAAACAATTTCATGTTTACAATTCTATGTATAATGTGAGATACTACTACTTTTCTAAATCATCGAATGACCAATAAAAACCAGAGAGAATTAGGGTGAGAAAATTCAAGCATGATAGTCAGTCAGTCAGTCAGTCAGCTGCAACGTAGAACCAGGCACATATATGCATCGGTCCAAGTTGCCATACAGCATTAGCACAACAAGATGAACACCAGATTTATAGAAGTAGTTAATTCAGTGGTGGTAATACATAGAAGAAAGATTGAATATAAGGAGATAGTACAGGAAGAAAGAATTAGTTCCTAGAAAGAAAGATATGAAGCGATTTTAATCTCTTAGTTTAGAGGAAGAAAGAGACCAGTCCTGAAGCAACAACTTGCATTTAAAGGGAGAGAAGCGCATCACAAACATTCTGGCATTTTCGCTCAGAGCTACCAAAAGACTCTGCATTTTATTAGCGTCTTCACCAAGCAGGACTATATCATCTGCGTATTCTAAGTCGATAAGTGGACATCCTGATCACTTTGATAGAGTGAGTAAGGAATTAATAATAATAATAATAATAATAATAATAATAATAATAATAATAATAATAATAATAATAATAATAATAATAAAATGTGTTATAACTTATGACCTTGTGTCCTATTAATACATAACCAAATCAGACCAATAACGCACAAATCCCTACGAGCAGTCTACAGTCCTTATTGGTCCTTTTTTCTGATTAGCCCTACCTGTTGAGACCAGAACACTAATCTCAGCCTCCGTGATATGAATCAAGTATTTCAAACATACTGGGTTTATATACAAACTAAACAGACTATATTATACCGTAAAATAGAAAATAACATTTGTACAAGATTTGGCTGTGAAAGTGGGAGACTGCAATTAATAGACTGGGTATAACTTAAGAACGATAGATTGTATAATAATGGTCTATAGATCAAAATAGAGCTTTTAATAAGAGGAGTATAGATATACATAATCTAGTTACTGAATAGTTATACAATAAGAATATACGTATAATATTAGTCCATAAATAGTTCTCAAAAGTTACCATTCATAATTCATATCGGGATATAACAAAATACATAGCAATGAATACACTGTATGTTTTGAGATGAATAAAGCTGTAAATCTGTGACCATTAGATTCTAACTCAGTGATATAGAAAGTAATGCACTTGATATGACAGAAGAAGGTTCCGAGTTCAGCACTGATGATGAAGAAGTTCCACTATTGATATTATTTCATGATGAATACTCACTTTTTGCGTCGAACTAATCTCATCATTTATTCAACTAACGTACAAAATCTATTAGCTTTATCGAGATTTTTCTCACAATATAATATATCCGTTGGAAGTGAACCACGGTTAGCGATTGAGCGTGAACAGGAAGACTGTTGTATGATACAATACATATTTTTTCAATTCTTTGTATTTGTGATATGAAGGGAGAATAAAAATAATTTTGTTTTTGAGGTGTAATACTATGATGTGACTGATGACTAACACTTTGATACTAAACTGAAAACTCAGTCAATAGTTCATACAGAAACAAGAATTAGATGGAACTAGAAAAGAAGGCCTAGGACAGAATGAGTGAGTGAGTAAGTAAATAAGTAAGTAAGTAAGTAAGTAAGTAAGTAAGTAAGTAAGTAAGTAAGTAAGTAAGTAAGTAAGTAAGTAAGTAAGTAAGTAAGTAAGTAAGTAAGTAAGTAAGTAAGTAAGTAAGTAAGTAAGTAAGTAAGTAAGTAAGTAAGTAAGTAAGTAAGTAAGTAAGTAAGTAAGTAAGTAAGTAAGTAAGTAAGTAAGTAAGTAAGTAAGTAAGTAAGTAAGTAAGTAAGTAAGTAAGTAAGTAAGTAAGTAAGTAAGTAAGTAAGTAAGTAAGTAAGTAAGTAAGTAAGTAAGTAAGTAAGTAAGTAAGTAAGTAAGTAAGTAAGTAAGTAAGTAAGTAAGTAAGTAAGTAAGTAAGTAAGTAAGTAAGTAAGTAAGTAAGTAAGTAAGTAAGTAAGTAAGTAAGTAAGTAAGTAAGTAAGTAAGTAAGTACGTAAGTAAGTAAGTAAGTAAGTAAGTAAGTAAGTAAGTAAGTAAGTAAGTAAGTAAGTAAGTAAGTAAGTAAGTAAGTAAGTAAGTAAGTAAGTAAGTAAGTAAGTAAGTAAGTAAGTAAGTAAGTAAGTAAGTAAGTAAGTAAGTAAGTAAGTAAGTAAGTAAGTAAGTAAGTAAGTAAGTAAGTAAGTAAGTAAGTAAGTAAGTAAGTAAGTAAGTAAGTAAGTAAGTAAGTAAGTAAGTAAGTAAGTAAGTAAGTAAGTAAGTAAGTAAGTAAGTAAGTAAGTAAGTAGTAAGTAAGTAAGTAAGTAAGTAAGTAAGTAAGTAAGTAAGTAAGTAAGTAAGTAAGTAAGTAAGTAAGTAAGTAAGTAAGTAAGTAAGTAAGTAAGTAAGTAAGTAAGTAAGTAAGTAAGTAAGTAAGTAAGTAAGTAAGTAAGTAAGTAAGTAAGTAAGTAAGTAAGTAAGTAAGTAAGTAAGTAAGTAAGTAAGTAAGTAGTAAGTAAGTAAGTAAGTAAGTAAGTAAGTAAGTAAGTAAGTAAGTAAGTAAGTACGTAAGTAAGTAAGTAAGTAAGTAAGTAAGTAAGTAAGTAAATACGTAAGTAAGTAAGTAAGTAAGTAAGTAAGTAAGTAAGTAAGTAAGTAAGTAAGTAAGTAAGTAAGTAAGTAAGTAAGTAAGTAAGTAAGTAAGTAAGTAAGTAAGTAAGTAAGTAAGTAAGTAAGTAAGTAAGTAAGTAAGTAAGTAAGTAAGTAAGTAAGTAAGTAAGTAAGTAAGTAAGTAAGTAAGTAAGTAAGTAAGTAAGTAAGTAAGTAAGTAAGTAAGTAAGTAAGTAAGTAAGTAAGTAAGTAAGTAAGTAAGGTAAGTAAGTAAGTAAGTAAGTAAGTAAGTAAGTAAGTAAGTAAGTAAGTAAGTAAGTAAGTAAGTAAGTAAGTAAGTAAGTAAGTAAGTAAGTAAGTAAGTAAGTAAGTAAGTAAGTAAGTAAGTAAGTAAGTAAGTAAGTAAGTAAGTAAGTAAGTAAGTAAGTAAGTAAGTAAGTAAGTAAGTAAGTAAGTAAGTAAGTAAGTAAGTAAGTAAGTAAGTAAGTAAGTAAGTAAGTAAGTAAGTAAGTAAGTAAGTAAGTAAGTAAGTAAGTAAGTAAGTAAGTAAGTAAGTTCGAAAGTAAATAAGCAAGTAAGTGTGTAAGTAAGTATGAAGTTAAGTAAGTAGGTAAGTAAGTAAGTAAGTAAGTAAGTAAGTAAGTAAGTAAGTAAGTAAGTAAGTAAGTAAGTAAGTAAGTAAGTAAGTAAGTAAGTAAGTAAGTAAGTAAGTAAGTAAGTAAGTAAGTAAGTAAGTAAGTAAGTAAGTAAGTAAGTAAGTAAGTAAGTAAGTAAGTAAGTAAGTAAGTAAGTAAGTAAGTAAGTAAGTAAGTAAGTAAGTAAGTAAGTAAGTAAGTAAGTAAGTAAGAAAGTAAGTAAGTAAGTAAGTAAGTAAGTAAGTAAGTAAGTAAGTAAGTAAGTAAGTAAGTAAGTAAGTAAGTAAGTAAGTAAGTAAGTAAGTAAGTAAGTAAGTAAGTAAGTAAGTAAGTAAGTAAGTAAGTAAGTAAGTAAGTAAGTAAGTAAGTAGTAAGTAAGTAAGTAAGTAAGTAAGTAAGTAAGTAAGTAAGTAAGTAAGTAAGTAAGTAAGTAAGTAAGTAAGTAAGTAAGTAAGTAAGTAAGTAAGTAAGTAAGTAAGTAAGTAAGTAAGTAAGTAAGTAAGTAAGTAAGTAAGTAAGTAAGTAAGTAAGTAAGTAAGTAAGTAAGTAAGTAAGTAAGTAAGTAAGTAAGTAAGTAAGTAAGTAAGTAAGTAAGTAAGTAAGTAAGTAAGTAAGTAAGTAAGTAAGTAAGTAAGTAAGTAAGTAAGTAAGTAAGTAAGTAAGTAAGTAAGTAAGTAAGTAAGTAAGTAAGTAAGTAAGTAAGTAAGTAAGTAAGTAAGTAAGTAAGTAAGTAAGTAAGTAAGTAAGTAAGTAAGTAAGTAAGTAAGTAAGTAAGTAAGTAAGTAAGTAAGTAAGTAAGTAAGTAAGTAAGTAAGTAAGTAAGTAAGTAAGTAAGTAAGTAAGTAAGTAAGTAAGTAAGTAAGTAAGTAAGTAAGTAAGTAAGTAAGTAAGTAAGTAAGTAAGTAAGTAAGTAAGTAAGTAAGTAAGTAAGTAAGTAAGTAAGTAAAGTAAGTAAGTAAGTAAGTAAGTAAGTAAGTAAGTAAGTAAGTAAGTAAGTAAGTAAGTAAGTAAGTAAGTAAGTAAGTAAGTAAGTAAGTAAGTAAGTAAGTAAGTAAGTAAGTAAGTAAGTAAGTAAGTAAGTAAGTAAGTAAGTAAGTAAGTAAGTAAGTAAGTAAGTAAGTAAGTAAGTAAGTAAGTAAGTAAGTAAGTAAGTAAGTAAGTAAGTAAGTAAGTAAGTAAGTAAGTAAGTAAGTAAGTAAGTAAGTAAGTAAGTAAGTAAGTAAGTAAGTAAGTAAGTAAGTAAGTAAGTAAGTAAGTAAGTAAGTAAGTAAGTAAGTAAGTAAGTAAGTAAGTAAGTAAGTAAGTAAGTAAGTAAGTAAGTAAGTAAGTAAGTAAGTAAGTAAGTAAGTAAGTAAGTAAGTAAGTAAGTAAGTAAGTAAGTAAGTAAGTAAGTAAGTAAGTAAGTAAGTAAGTAAGTAAGTAAGTAAGTAAGTAAGTAAGTAAGTAAGTAAGTAAGTAAGTAAGTAAGTAAGTAAGTAAGTAAGTAAGTAAGTAAGTAAGTAAGTAAGTAAGTAAGTAAGTAAGTAAGTAAGTAAGTAAGTAAGTAAGTAAGTAAGTAAGTAAGTAAGTAAGTAAGTAAGTAAGTAAGTAAGTAAGTAAGTAAGTAAGTAAGTAAGTAAGTAAGTAAGTAAGTAAGTAAGTAAGTAAGTAAGTAAGTAAGTAAGTAAGTAAGTAAGTAAGTAAGTAAGTAAGTAAGTAAGTAAGTAAGTAAGTAAGTAAGTAAGTAAGTAAGTAAGTAAGTAAGTAAGTAAGTAAGTAAGTAAGTAAGTAAGTAAGTAAGTAAGTAAGTAAGTAAGTAAGTAAGTAAGTAAGTAAGTAAGTAAGTAAGTAAGTAAGTAAGTAAGTAAGTAAGTAAGTAAGTAAGTAAGTAAGTAAGTAAGTAAGTAAGTAAGTAAGTAAGTAAGTAAGTAAGTAAGTAAGTAAGTAAGTAAGTAAGTAAGTAAGTAAGTAAGCAAGTAAGTAAGTAAGTAAGTAAGTAAGTAAGTAAGTAGGATCAGATGATCGTAGATATACTCGATGATATAGATTACTTTAAACAACTTAACTTGTAAATTAAACAACCATTTATATAATATTGAAGAAATATTAGTAATATTTTAAAGAGATGAATACCTGTTTCAATTCTTCATTTCCTGTTTCTAATTGAGCTAATAATGCTTCCAAATTAGCTAAACGTCTACAAATAAATGCTTTATTGTCTGGTGCTGCATAAGTTAAATTTGTTAAAGCCATACATATATATCGTCTTAATGCTAAACTATTCTCTAGTAATGTGACAACATTTTGATTATGTATCAATGATGATAATGGTGATGATAATAGTAATAATGTTTTATTGTTAGTATTATTATTATTATTATTATTATTATTATTATTATTATTATTATTATTATTATTATTATTATTATTATTATATGAATTCATATACTCTGACCACATCATTTGTTCTATGCGTAATAAAGAAATTAAAGCGTGTACTCCACCTAGATACAAAAAGGCGTAAAAAAAAAAATAAAGAAAAACGACGATGAAAAGTTTAGGTTACAACATGAAAATGTAGTTCATCAACAAAAAAAAATTGTAATCAATATATTAGCTTTCGTATAAATGTGAAGTTCGTTCAATTTACCATATAGGATTAATAAAATAATGATTTAAGTAGTCCATTCAATATGAGGACATTGACAAAATTTGACTTTTACATATATGTGTTCATGAGATACTAGAGTGTGGTGTAGGTTACTTATAGCCACACAAGTAGTATATAACGGTGATTAGGTATAGCATGAATTTCAGTAGAAGGTCGATGAGGAAAGAATGGGAATGGAATGCAATTGGTATGAAAACGTATGAACAATGAAATCTGAGACAATGGATTAATGTTTGCAACAGGAACAGTTAAGTTTGATATGATGAATTGATAGTTTGCAAATTAATTGGTTACTACTATATGGTTCTCAGATTTTATTGAGATGGTCTGTAATTATGTGCTCAAATACAATTGATTGTCCCCACTGGTGTTTTTGTTCATTACACTAGCATAGTATACTGGCAGTATTGTAGTATATAGTATTTAATGTAGTGAATTAGCCAATTAGGTATTAGGCATGTAGTTAGTAATATAATTTAGATATTTCTAGGTTTATGAAAATTTCTTACGTTGATTCATTGATAGATTTTGTTAATTCTATCAATACATCAATTGACAAAACGAGGGCGTCATTATTTATCAGAAAATTTGATTGTAAAAACTGAATTTCCTATTGTTCAGACTTATCTTTTGGGAATGTTAAATCCCCTAGGAAACTACTCACTTATTACGTTTATACTATGCATGGGAATTCCCTTTTCTCTAATCCAAATTTCACCAAGAAAACTTAATCATACTTTTAGGGAGTTGTGCCAAAACAGTCTCGTTATGAAAGTATAATAATTAAGTATGCGCACATCTGATGAATGACAATAAATGCAGTCTCATTTTTACCGAATATCATCCACAATTTTTTTATTTGATTCACATTTAAGTTGTTGCTACACAACATAAAAGAGGATACACATTAAAAACAAACTAGCGTTCAATGTTTCAATAACAGAAGGATAATAATATGCGATAAGCATTAGTTTCCCGGATGTTGCTGCTATCTTAATGTTGTAGTCGGACATGTCTATCTTAATGAATCAATTGAGTTATACTGGCTGGAACAATCGTTCCTCAAAGACCTACCATACCAGAAAGGTCGGTTGAACAGCGGTAAGATTAAAAGCAACAAATCCAATGTCTGAGGGCGAAGTCGTACTGCTGACTGTACAGATGTGTAACAGCAGTAAGGTGTTTCCTCCAGACAACCAGCATGACAGTAATGCTGCCTTCTCACAAGGAGGGGTGGAGTGAGAAAAGGTCCACCCTAAAAATACACACCTCGTCTTATCCCACGGATATCCGTCTCCGGCGTTAAGGTCTCAACAAGTACGGAGCTAACACAAAAATTACTCATAAGAATGTCGTGTGTGACCGAAATCAAGCAGTTGTTTCTTGGGCTGTCGGTCACTAAGACCACCTCTAATCCAATTTCATTTTCATGTACCTCTAGAAGAACTCTTCCACAGTGTGGGCAGCCGGGAAGTGATAACTGCCCTTATACCTTTAACAGCACTAAACATCACTGTGTTCATAATCAATATCCCTCTTCAATTCGTATTATTCCTCCTACCTCAGCTTTCAATTAAAAACTTCTTCAAACATTAGTTTACAAATGTGTTTAATTACAAACGACGAGAACCTAATCTATGCACGAACCAATCAGGTGTAGAATAAGAGGTCTTAGATTCGAGCGCGAAATTCATTCATCTATTTGGCTAAATAGCGTTTTGGCATGATAGCTGATGTCAGTTCATGATGAAAACCATAAATCTAATTCCTAAACGTAAACATCAACTGTAAATCATAATTCTAATTACTCATATTGGTTTCTAGCCCTCATTTAAACTTAATTAGTAAATGAACATTCTCAAGATCAGTTTAGAGTCGCTCAAAAATCTTTCATGAATTATAATCTCATCTAACAAACTGATAATGGTCAATTGAAATTAAAAATTAAACTACATAGAAAAATACATCTACTTTAAGGCATCTTGTTAGTTGAGCTTAGAGAAATCATTAATTACTTTCCACATGAATTTTAAGAAGATCATTAATGTACAAGTGGATGAATTTGTTGGAATTGATTTTATTGACTTATTTGATTTAACTATATATCTTTCATCATGGTACCGAACAAAATTATCAATGCCAACTTCAATTTGAAATAACAATCACTATATTGATCTATTTTGATAATCAAGTTAGTGATTAATTTCTATCACACTTTTTTAAATGTTTATTTTTACATTTGTGTTCCCATAAATTGTTAAGTTAATTTCTCATTATTATAATAAATAGGATCTATATAGACATTTTAAGTCATTGCTAACTATAGAGTTAGTATGTTAGTATGATCTTAGAGTGACATAATAAACACAAAGTTAAGAATCATTGAAGATTTTCAGTACAAAAAGAAAAAAAAATATGAAACATATATTTCAGTCATAGAACATACCTAATTCACAAATAGCATTTCGATGCATTGAATCAAATGATAAACGAACTAAAGCAGCAACTTCAGCAACTGGACAAACAGTACATGACTCTATATTCAACATTGCATTATTATTATTATTATTATTATTATTATTATTATTATTAGTAGTAGTAGTAGTAGTAGTAGTAGTAGTAGTAGTAGTAGTAGTAGTAGTAGTAGTAGTAGTAACGTTATCACCAGTATTGATATTATTATTATTATTATTCGTCTGTGCGATACGTTCACTTAAATTTAAACTGTAACTATGAATAGAAGTTAACAACTGAATAATTCCCATATCTCTTCCATATAATTTTGAATCTGGTTGACATAATGGAGCAAGTTTTTGAATTGCCTGAAGTTAAAATTAAGAAATAAGATCAAAACATTTATATATATACATATATATGTATACTTGAAATTTACATTACTGAAGTAATACAGATATCATAGAATATTTAAGACTTCGCTCCGGCAAATATAAACCATATTCTAGTGTAAATATGTAGATTTGCTTCAGGTTAGTTGCTAATTACAGAAACTCTGACAAATACGACCGTCAAGCTTGATTAACGTGACAACCTATTCGAGATCTTAACTGAAATATTTTATCTAGATAGGCAGATCAGAGAATAGTAAAACCAGAAGAAAAATTTAACGATTCGAATACAAAGTCAAACAATCAACTGTACATAGAAGGAGAGCCCCCAAATGCCCTGGTACGGCCGAGAGTGGGGAGAGTCCGCTCTCCCTCTCGAAATGCTCTCACATGGCCATGCGTATATAGCCTCTGCCAGGGAAGTCCTACTCACTGCCTTCTCGTGGCGGGGGTGTTGTTTACGAAAATGAGAGGACGAAAAGCGAATGTCCGGCACTGGCTTTAACCGGATCCAAAACCAATGGTGCACATGGGCTGGCTCCAGTATCCTGAAGGAACAAATGGCGTATGAACCAATCGTTGGTCACCGGCTACCATGGGACTGCATCTCCTCACGATGCTCCACTGCCTTGTGGATCAGACGTTCAGGTCAAAGGCTCGGGGTGTGGCCCCCTAAGAAAACCACCTGCTTCGGTTTGGGCACCCGGACAGTATCACAGCCCTCACACAAATCAATTGAGATTTGTGTGGCGCATATGTACTTGGTGCCTCCCTGTACCTATACTTATGTGTTAAAATAAATAAATAATAATAAATAAATATTTTACTAGTTTAGGGGTTATGGAGATTGTGAAGTTTTTGATTGAGATCATGAACTGATTGATGTTAGACCATCATTGAAAACCTAAAAGCACTGGATGGCCGTTTCATCCACGATCCCGCTCGTGGGATTCAAACTTGGGGCCTTCAGTTTCGAGCGCGAACGCTTAATCTACTGGAGTTCTGGTGAGAACTCTTGACCAGTGGAGCTAATCCGTGTCGGGTAAAAACAGGTGTTTACCTCAGTACAATGGAAGATGGTCGCGCAACTTCGTGGATTGATTGAAGTTAGACATTAACACCATTGGATGCTAGCTTAGTGGTTTAGTACGTTAATCAACCCTGGGTTCGAATCCAGCAAGCGGGATCTTGAATGCACACTGTTGAATAGTCCCATACTAGGACGAAACGGTCATTCAGTACTTCCAGGTTTTCAATGGTAGTCTAACATCAATCAATTTATGATCTCAATCAAAGATATTATTTCAGAAATTGATAGACTGATTGTAACACTGAACAAAAATGACCTCTCAGTAATGTTGTGTGTGCTTTTTATTTATTTATTTATTTCAATAGAATTTTCATATTGTTAAACTGTAAAACAATATTAACCTAATTCATTCATATACAAAACTATTTGTATTGAGATATACAAAATAATCATTATTGTAATAATTCAAATAGAGATTGTCCTTAAATATATATTTATGTATATAATTTGAATTAGTCAGATATTAATCACAATTAGTATTAATCATACATAAACATACATAAATGTACATAGGAACAAAGGTCATGTAATAAATTGGTTAATAACAGTTGATTGAAATCGATTAATAAATTCATAACATAACAAATAATTTATGTAATACAGAATAAAATGAACATTAAAAAGTTTATAAATAGTGATATATCTTCTATTTGAACATTTGGATCAGTTTCCTAAACTCTTCTAATAAGACATGAAAACGATTGTGTCACATCCCACTGTGTTTACCAATTTAAATGTGTGTGTGTGTGTGTGGTCACACATACATAGGGAGGAGCAATCGTAATCTTAACATTAGGGTGAGTGAACATGTACCCAAATGGCTGCAAAAAACAAATACAATCAAGTGACCCAATAAGAGCAGAGGATAAACATCCATCATCCTCTATTGCTAAACATATAATTGAAACAGGGTACAAGATTGATCTAAACTCGGCTTTTGTGGTATTATATAAAAGTGTAAAAGGACGTATACTAAGGTTTATTGAAGCCTTAGCCATACGAAAATTCAAACCGCCTTTGTGTATTCAAAAACAGTTTGTTCATACCTTAAACCTACCCTGGTAATATTGACTTATTATCCAGAGTGATTAGGTTTTGAATAGTGTTCAGATTATTATTATTATTATTTTTATTATTATTATTATTATTATTATTATTATTATTATTATTATTATTATTACTCTTATTATTATCCTTATCTCCGCTTACCCCATTTACAGTCTAGTTGACCTTTTATTTTTTTATATAAATGCTCTTAACAAGTATATGTGTGATCAGATTTTGTTCGAAATGTATTGCGCTAATATATCACATAGTTTTGATAATCTCCGTCTTCTTATTCCATTATCGAAATTTATAAAAGGGACTAATTGCTTTAAACTTCTAATAAGAGTTTGGCTATATCTACACAACAACTTGAACATGAGAGGAAAAGCGCGTAATATAAAAAGAATGATTTACTTCAAGTTTAGTTTAGGTACAAAAAAAAAAAATCAAGTGTATTTATTAGCATTTCAGATGACTTTAGCTTTCTGAAAGGTTCACATGAACATTATCAAATATAGATCTTCAATAGTTGTCTAACTTAGATTGATTTGTAAATTTTAACAAAATTCAATAATCTTCACAATAAAAAATTAGACTACTAAAATTCTACCGTATAACATACCTCCATAGCAGCAGCTTTCAATTCCATTAAAGATGTATTCGGTGGTAGAATTTTAGAATCAGTTAAATTAATTTTACTGAAATTATTGTTATTACTAATAAGACTATTATTGTTAACATTGTTAATCGATGTATTTGTATAGTTTGTTAAACAGGAAGTTTTCTCCAATGTGTTATCATCGATTTTTGTCCAATTGTTCTGTCCATATGAATAACCTGGGTTGTTTTGTTTGTTTGTTTGTTTTTTTTTCGTGAAAGATAGGAATAATTAGACAAGAAAGAAGAAGTTAATACTTTGAAATATTTTCATAATAAATGAGAATATTTAAAAAAAAAATGTTAGAATTTAATGTACTGCTGAGGAGTCCCATCATAGGACGAAACGACCGTCCAGTGCTTGGAGGTTTTTCATGGTTGTCTAGCTTTAACTGACTTATGATCTTAATCATTGAAATTACTAAAATCTCCAAAAAACCCCTTCTGATAGTAATTCATTAAGTACAAAGTTTATTACGTGATTAATTTGAGTTACAAATGATTTGCGTGATAGCTATAATGATACAACTCTTTAGCTTACAAAATCAATCAAAGTAGATATAATGAAATTTCAACGTATAACCTAACGGCTAAGAGTTGAATAGTTTAATCATTCCCAAAAGTGCATTCACTCTTAATCTCGGTTTTTTTTTTAAATTTTATCTGAGGATTTTTCATTTAGCCCCGAATCATATTATCTACACCTATTCGTTTCTACTATAACTGATACTACATCTATACTTTGACTGCTGTCATTTATCTTGATATAATCATTATTCTGTAGTGGTGTTGCGGCAAATTGAAAAGATGCACATACATACCAGGTTATAGGTTGCTCACAACTGAGTATTCATTTATCTTTGATCTAAGCTGTTTGAGAAATATAGATACAAACTGCGACCAAAGAATCGGTAAATAATGGAGTGAAATCAGAAATATCACCTTTACAAGGTGAAATGTAATCTACCAAAAATGAGAGGGCAACAGTTCAAGTCTAATTCTTAATTCAGGGCTACCAGATATTTTTGTCACTAGAAACCAGTGGTAAACATTCACTTCAAAGTTTTTACAGAAATAAATCTGTTGAGAAAAATTTCTTGCTTTGTGGATTAGATTAGCACCCTGAGTCGTTAAGTTACAAGTTGTTTTCTTACTTTGAATTGGTACCTGAATGATAACATAATCATTACGTAATGATTTCAATGTTTTGTGATGACTACTCCATTTACCCATGTTTGACCTATTATTTCTAATGTTTAACTACTATCAGTACACCTGTCTTCCTACTATCAACTTGTACTTTTATCTATTATATGTGATGACTTACTCTATTTCATTGTAATGACTGACCCAAATTGCTTTGATTGGTTTAACATTTTCGTATAAATATTACTGTCTATTAGAGTAAAGCCTGATGATGATTTAATTGAAAACAATTGTTCGCTTATATACTGCTCAACTGCCCAGACCGAAACAGGTTCTATTTTAAGAAATAGACAACTGATAGTATTGAACGATGACATTTACTACACCATGGACTGGATAGATTGAGAAATATGGTTTACGGTTGCATGACTTAAATATAAAACACTCATCGATAGATTTACTATTACTAGAATTGATCCCTAACCACCCATTTTAAGGGGCTATGATGATTTCTCAAATGATGTGAATGCTCATGATGAGAAGTAACTTGTAAAGATGATATTGTTTTACTCATATATATGAGAACAATGAACACTAATAGTAAACCAGGGTAACATCAAATTTTAACAAGACCAGAGACATAGATGATCATTAATTCACCAAGTGTAAATTAACATTTTTATGTTGAATATTTTCCAAAAATAACTAGAAACATTTTACGATGTTAGAGAATGTTCATATGATATTTTGTAGAAATTCATATAGATTTCTTCAATAATTTATGTATACCATGAATAAAAACGGAAGTGATCAACTTCAGTTGAACAATAATTAAAACGAGAAGCATCATGTAGTCTGTATCTAGAGTTAACGGATATGTTGATATAATTAGATTACATTTGACCTAGTAAATGGACGAAGGGGGGAGGAATCGTAGGCTTAAATTATCTGAAATAAAGAGAGGAAATTGGTAACTGACTAGCTTTTCATACAAAAAAGACGTTTTGGTAGAGGGTAGTACAACGAAAGGGGTAGTAATTGAAGTGAGAAGCCCTGATTCGTTGAGTCGAAAGGTAATTGATTTACACTGAATAAAACGTGCAACCAATGAACAACAATTCTATCACGATATAAATTGTACGTTACCGGATCTTTACTCAGGAAATTGACAAGAGTTTTGAATAAGGTTAGTATGATGGTAATAAAAACATAATATTGATAGTACAGAAGGCGTGTATATTGCGAGTGGACGTACGAATACTTATGAGGATCAGACATCAACACATAATTTGATAGATTTTTCATAGATACAACGGAACATAAAGACGTTCCACCTGCAGCCGTTCAGTAATAAGCAATGCAGAAACTGGCATATGTGCACATCTTTTCAAGGTAGCATAACACGTCACCACGGAAGGATGAAATTATCGAGAAAAGTGACAAAACAGTAGTAGCAGAAGAAGTATCTGTGTTAGTATAAACGAATAGGCATAGACAATATGATTCGGAAGAAAAGAAGAAATCCCCAGATAAAATAAAGATCGGGGCTAAAAGTGAATGCACTCTAGCTAGCACTACCGAGTTCGAGCCATGACACCCCACGTCTGAAACCACTGGTTATGATATCCATGATAATCTCAACTAAGTAGTGTGAGACTATTTAAACATCTGAGCTTAATAGTTAGTCAGTCAGCTACAACATAAGATCAGGCACATATATGCATCGGTCTAAGTTGCCATACAGCATTACCACAGCAAAATGAACACCGGATTCATATGAGTAGTTAAATCAATGGTGGTAATATATATATATATATATATATATATATATATATTACAGGAATAAAAATTTATTTTGTAGAAAGAAAGATATGAAGTGATTTTAATCTCTTAGTTTAAGGGAAGACAGAGGGTGTATACACCAACGCCATTGTGATTGATTCTCAGCCATTTCACCAAGAGTCTACAACCATTGGATACAATAGTCATGCGGACCCCAACAAAGTAGACTGCATCTACCAACATGGTTCAAACCACATGTTAGTGTCTTCACGCACTGATGCCACGTTTTGGTTAGACCGCCCCTGACTTTCTTCCAACCATCCCCAACACCGGTTAGCATTGCACGTCGTGATAATCGGTGTTTAGGCAGACGCCCAACCACTGTTGCTACCTTGACGTGGTGGAAGGACATGCCTATCGTGATGAAGCGACCGAACTATACTGACTGGAACAACCGTTCCTCAAGGTCCTATCATACCAGACAGGTCGGTCGAACAGCGGTAAAACTAAAAGCAACAAATCCAATGTCTGAGGGTGAAGTCGTACTGCTGACTGTACAGATGTGTAACAGCAGTAAGGTGTCTCCTCCAGACAACCAGCATGACAGTAATGCTGCCTTTTCACAAGGAGGGGTGGAGTGAGAAAAGGTCCACCCTAGAAATGCACACTTCGTCTCATCCCACGGATATCCGTCTCCGGCGGTAAGGTCTCAACAAGTACGGAGCTAACACAAAAATTACTCATAAGAATGTCGTGTCTGACTGACCTCAAGCAGCTGTCCCTTGGGTACTGCGGTCACGCTCTCGGGTCACTAAGACCACCCTTAATCCAATTTCCTTTACACGTACCTCTAGAAGAACCCTTTCACTGTGTAGGCAAACGGGAAGTGATATCCACCCTCATACCTCTAACAACACTTATTATTATTCCTCCTTAACAGTTAGTGATTTCACAGAATGATTCCATGTTACTTTTTGACCGCCCCTACACTTCTTCCAATTTACTATTACACCAGCCAATATTGTACGTCGACGTAGACAGTCGTTTTATATACGCTTAGCGTGGATGTTGTCTTATCTATGGAAATGAAAAACAACCTAATTAAAGGAAAAAATGGATTTAAACAAAAATCATTTTGTTCGTATTAAATTAAATTATTAAACATTTCAGATTTATTAACTCCTATCAATTAAATATATAATGAGACTATAGCATGAATGGTGTTTCATGCACCTAAATGAACTTAATAAAAAGGAATGATAAAGAATTTGGAATGTCAATAAAACGAACGGATAATAATAGGGATAATGATTCAAAAATAATGATAAAAAAATAGTCAGTAGCGACCCGGATAACTTAGTAATATCGTCTCTGATTGTGAAGCTGGGTGATACGGAATCGAACCCACCAGAGAGCATTAGTTCGCTTAAAGTTGCTGGCGAATGTTAACCAGCACAAAAACCTAGGTCGATTAGGGAACCTATCAACTGTCATTTACCATTGGCTTATATGTCAAAATAGTATACGTGATGTCAAAACGCCTAGAAAAATGAACACACTGCAACTTGATCGATAGAATTCAATCAGCACTAAGGACTTGAAACACATGGTATCGATTACTTCATCCAGTGATTAATCAATTGTAAGAACGAGAATAGTGTAATACAGAATTGATTTCAGTTAAAAATACAATCAAGACAAGTTTCATATTTATAGAGTGTAAAGGAAAACTGGAGTCAGATCGCCAGTGGCTTTTGTTCCGATCCATCTCTTACTTTTTAAGCCACTGAGTTAAATCATGTCTACGACTCTAACCACGGAGTTGCAATGGACCGACAGGTTCAAGTTTTATGCAATCATCTTTTATACCACAGCTCTATGTAATGACCTGACTAAATTTGCTTTTTCCATACAAATGATAGACGATATGGAAATTATTAGAATGACGTTTTTAAAACATATCTAAGGTATCGAAGCCAAGATTTCAAGATGGTAATATTAATTAAGTCCTTATCACTGCATTCAATCATATATTCGTTAACCTCTACATGAATAACCATAGTATTGCCATTGGATGAGAGCAATCCTTTAAGAGCAACGATGACAAAATATCTTGAATTCAAAGATCAAGGTTTATAAGTAAAATTAATCTAAATAACATGTTTTGCATTTAACCATTTAGTTAGACTAGTATTATACAATGGCACCAAAAATAGTACAAATTAGAATAAATCAATTTATGTCTCTAAGATGAAATCCATTTTGAGTGACCACACGAGATTCAAGTTAGAAAAAAGCAACAAAGACTTAACTGATTCCACTGAGAAAAGAATCAAGAAAGTAGTCAGAGACCTACTAAAGAAGATGATCGATAATTCTACCTACAATAACCTACGACTTCGTGGGTCTCGTTTGCCCCACATGTATGGTTTGCCGAAAATACATAAACAAGATAATCCTCTCAGACCTATTTTGTCAATGGTCAATTCACCATACCACAAAGTTGCACGATGGCTGGCAGATAAATTAGAACCAGTTCGTCAACGATTAACCACCTATACACTAAAGGATTCATTTGCATTTGCTGACAGTATGAATCACATAAATATTGCTGGTAAGTTTATGGTTTCTTTTGATGTGACATCATTGTTTACAAAAATACCACTTCTTGAAACCATAGACATAATTTGTCAGCATCCGGACATCCTACCTCTACCAGCAACAGAATTCAAAGAACTATTACTCATATGTACAAAAGATGTTCAATTCCAATTCAACAATACTATATACCGACAAACCGATGGTGTGGCAATGGGAAGTCCGTTAGGCCCTGTCCTAGCAGACATTTTCATGGCTAACCTCGAAAGAACCAAAACTCAAAGGAGCGATTAAGGAAATGATGTATTATTCGAGGTATGTTGATGATACCTTCATCGTATGTAATAATCAACAACATGCAACAAATCTGCTAAAATATTTCAATGAGGCTCATCCCAATATTCATTTCACTATGGAAGATGAAAAAGAAAATAAGTTCCATTTTCTCGATATCGCAATGAAACGAAGAAAAGATGGTACAGTTCAACGCTCAATTTATGAGAAAGACACATGGAATGGGATTTATCTCAATTTCAACAGCTTCTGTCCAATCAATTATAAAAAGGCACTTGTCAAAACATTGTTTCACAGAACAGAAAGAATATGTACTGCCGATACAATAGAAGAGGAAGTTCTGAATATTAAAAAGTGTTTAAGGAATAACGGTTACCCGCTGAAATTTATTGAGAAATACGGAAAACATGAAGATAAAATACCAAAAGAAACTACTGTAAGTAAAAAACCTGTTTTTATTGAACTCAAATTCAAAGGTGATAATGTCTTAGGGTCAATCAATATGAAACTGAACACTGCATTGACAAAAACATATCCAGCAGCTAAATTGATTGTCCTGTCCAAAACAACATGTTCTTTGATACAATCAAAGGTCGACAGGTATCCCTTTCATGTTACCACCAACTGTGTATACAAATTTACATGTATCTGCCAAAGCAGTTACATTGGTAGAACAGAAAGGAGAGCCTACGTCCGATTCAAAGAACATATTCCAAAGGGTTTGAGATCAAACGGACCAAAAACATTCAGCAGCGCTATCGCAAGACATCTCTTTGACATAGGACACGAAATCGATATACTGAAGTTCTTCAAGGTGATCAACAAACAATCAAATTCCAACCTTTTAAAATTTGCCGAAGCGATAACAATCAAACGTTTAAAACCAGATCTTTGTATACAAAAAGAAACAGTAATAAATCTTTCTTTACCCTGGTAAAATTACATCCCCCCTCTTTTATTTATTACGTCATTCCAACTCTTTCCAAAAAAAATTTTATAATTACATCATTCATAACTGACCAATTTCAATTCATATCTCTCTTTATTACCATTAATCTATTTTCAGTGTTACTTCATTACATAATCATCTAATGTGTTTTAATTCCATGAGTTCTAATCACTATTTCTATATGTTATGGAACCTTCCCTCCCAAACTCTATATATATTCGAAACAAAAAAAAAATTTTTATAACCTCATTATCTCTAACAGCATCTTTGCTACATCATGTTACTTATATTCATCCTTCATCACCCTCTTTATTTATTATTTATTTATTTTAACACATAAGTATAGGTACAGGGAGGCACCAAATACATATGCGCCACACGAATCTCAATTGATTTGTGTGAGGGCTGTGATACTGCCCGGGTGCCCAGACCGAAGCAGGTGGTTTTCTTAGGGGGCCACACCCCGAACCTTCGACCTAAACGTCTGATCCACAAGGCAGTGGAGCATCGTGAGGAGATGCAGTCCGATGGTAGCCGGTGACCAACGATTGGTTCATACGCCATTTGTTCCTTCAGGATACTGGAGCCCATGTGCACCATTGGTTTGGAATCCGGTTAAAGCGCCGGACATTCGCTTTTCGTCCTCTCATTTTTGTTAACAACACCCCCGCCACGAGAAGGCAGTGAGTAGGACTTCTGTGGCAAAGGCTATATACGCGTGGCCATGTGAGAGCATTTCGAGAGGGAGAGCGGACTCTCCCCACTCTCGACCGTACCAGGGCATTTGGGGGCATGAGTTAATATCTGTGTAGACTAATTGTGGGATGATACGTTGAGATCAATGTTATGAATGTTGAAAATTAAATTGATTTAAAGAGAACAAGAACAATAGTTGGTGCAAATGAATAATAAATGAATTCATTTTATTTCGTTAGATTCTCATCAGCTGCTTACAACCTAAAAATATTTGAAATTCAACATTATTACAGATATTGACATACTTAGACATAAGAGTGTGATGAGCCCCCAAATGCCCTGGTACGGTCGAGAGTGGGGAGAGTCCGCTCTCCCTCTCGAAATGCTCTCACATGGCCACGCGTATATAGCCCCTGCCAGGGAAGTCCTACTCACTGCCTTCACGTGACATTACTGTTGTTTACGAAAATGAGAGGACGAAAAGCGAATGTCCGGCGCTTTAACCGGATTCCAAACCAATGGTGCACATGGGCTCCAGTATCCTGCTGGAACAAATGGCGTATGAACCAATCGTTGGTCACCGGCTACCATCGGACTGCATCTCCTTACGATGCTCCACTGCCTTGTGGATCAGACGTTCAGGTCAAAGGCTCGGGTTGTGGCCCCCTAAGAAAACTACCTGCTTCGGTCTGGGCACCCGGGCAATATCCCAGCCCTCACACAAATCAACTGATATTCGTGTGGCGCATATGTATTTGGTGCCTCCCTGTACCTACACTTATGTGTTAAAATAATAATAATATAATAAAATATTAACTCATATTATTAATAAGTAATTAATGAAAATATAATTGAATCATACATAAAGTTTACTTACCCAATGATGTATTGAATTCATTAGGATTAGAATTAAATAATGAAGGAAATTCCAAGTAATGATTACTATTATTATTATTATTATTATTATTATTATTATTATTATTATTATTATTATTATTATTATTATTATTATTATCTTCATGATTCATATGATCTTGTTTTTCATTTATTGATGTATTAATTGTATATTCTTCAGTATCTTCAGTATCTTTAATTGTTTGATTATCTGTTATAATTTCTTCTTCATAAACTGTATCACTATATAATATTCTTATTAAATGTGTTAATATACGACGTGAAAATTGTGCTATATATATATTTGTATTTATCTTTATTGAATTATTTTGTATACAATTCATTGAATCCATTTTAGTTAACCAATTTAATAAAAATGTATGAAATGTATAAATTTCTGATGGATTCATATTTTCAGTAAAATTTGTTTCTGGATGATGCCATATTAATAAGTTAAGTAATGCTTTAATTACATCTTGACGATTATTATTATTATTATTATTATTATTATTATTATTACAACTACTACTACTACTACCACTACTATTACTACTACTTATAAATAATTGTTTGGATGAATATTGACAATTTTGCTGTTGTCGTTGTTCATTGGAATTATGATTTATTGTATTATTCATTAAAGAATTAATTGTCGATGTCAATGGTTGATAATTATCACTATTAGAGGATGATGATATTGTGATAGATTGATTTTGATATTGTTGATATGATTGTTGTTGTTGTTGTTGTTGTCTTCTATGTTGATGTTCTTGTTGGATAGAACATTTTGGGATTGGTATATCAGTGTGAGAATTATCAATTGAATAGTTGATCTCAGTAGATGATTGATCTAGATAAATGAAAAAAGAAATTTAAGAGAAAAAAATATATATCAATGGTTAAGATCATGAGTCAGTTGAAGCTAGACCACCATGGAAAACCTGCAAGCAATGGAAGGCCGTTTCGTCTTATCGTAAGACTCCTGAGCAGTCCGATTTCACGGCCCCGCCCTCCGCAAGATTCGAACCCAGGACCTAGTGGTTTCGCACGCGAGCACTTAACCACTAGATCACTGAGCCGGCATCCAACGGTGTTAATGTTTAACTTCAACTAATCCACGAAATTGAGCGACACATCTACCATTGTCTTCAGTGAGTTACTATCTCACAACAGACCTGGTTGAACTCCAATGAGGAGTCCCACAATAGAACGAAACGGCCGTCCAGCGCTTCCAGGTTTTCCATAGTGGTCTAGCCACAATTGACTCATGATCTTAACTATCGAAATTACTACAATCTCCACAATATCGTTACCTACTGCATCTCCTCACGATGCTCCATTGCCTTGTGAATCAGATCTTTAGGTCAAAGGCTCCGGGGTTTGGCCCCTTAAGAAAACCATCTGCTTCAGTTTGGGCACCCGAGCACTATCATAGCCCATACACAAATATGATGAAATATTGATATTTATAGAAGATACTTTTCTTGCTTCAATTAACAATCAATTCTTGTATGGCGCACATATATTTAGTGCCCTCTTGTACCAATATTTATGTGTTCAAATAAAAATAAAAAAATAAAGAATGACCTCAATTCAAATGTGTGTAATGGTGTAAATCTTTGATTAACTTAAATAGTCAGTGTTACTCTAAATCACTAACGTAATATCAATCCATAGATTACCTAATCAAGTATTTCCTAATGACAGCTTGAATGATACAGTTTGGAATGTGTTCACGTAGAAAAATGTATTCAACTCTTTATCTTTCAAGTCAACATTATTTAATACCTAATATTTCTCGATAAATGGATATATATATATATATATATATATATATATATATATTTCCTCTATTTGTGCCATTATGAAATGTACAATTTCACCAGTTCATACAGTATTGATAATCTGTCTCATTAAAAGAATTTTCATATTAATAACGATAAATATATAAACTTATGCAACTGACTTTTTATATTAAAGTTTGAGTATGAATTTAATCCAATGGAACCATTTGGAAGTGATGAATGTGTATTGCTATAAGGACTAGTATGGAACGTTTGACTAATATATGATTGTTGGTTCGTATACTGAGTAGTAATAGGGTTATCAGAGAATGTGTTCACTTTGATTTGAGTACATGAAGATGGTAGTTCATGATCATACTGAATACATGGTCGACTCGTTGTATTATCATTTATTGTAGGTGTTGAAACTGATATTTTACCGATCCAACTACCACTACGAGGCGGTGGAGGTGGTGGCGGTGGCCGAGAACGCTTAGAAGGTTGACGACTGACTTCACTTGAAAGTGAAAAAAAGAAAGAAAACATTATATCAACCAATAGAATTATTTTTTATTTTGATACAATTCTTATCTTGTCAATAAAAACATTCCCTGTAGAATGTATTCATCATAGATTGATCTGAGCTATGATACCACTGAAAGCCAAGAGGTAGTTGTTTTGTCTGTGTTATTGAATTTCAATATGGAGTATCTTTTTTAAAGAACTTAGATTAAAGGTGAATTTAGCTACTAATGTTTATACTACATAGTGAAAACATTTCTAATACTGAAAGTGTGAGCAAATAACTAAATAAACCTTGAATCAAATTGACTTGAATATGAAAACTTGTAAAACGATATTTACGAAAGCATCTAGTCATATAAGTCATTGACATTCTCTAAGGGAGTATTTATCACTATCTATAAATAAATCATTACCAAATTTATTCATATAAGATTGACACATTATGTTCAACTCTAAAGTAACACTATTTACTAACTACAAACATACCTGTCTCTAACGCTTTCCATATATCAAACACGTTGTTTCAAAGTAAATTGCTTAATAATTCATAATTGAAGAGAGTGAATAAGATTAAATCAAATGTGAAGAGGATAATTGTTCACTTGATGAGTATGAAAAGGGTGAAGAATAAATTAAAAACATTAGAAGGATGTAATAGCATTAAATTACCGTTAGAGACGTTGAAGAATGAGAGATAAATTGATTATTCACTTAAAACTTGACTTATTTAAAAAAATAAACATCGGTAATTTTATACTACATTTGATTAAACAATCAGGTTACCTTATCTATCTAAAAAAAAAACAATAAAACATCCACGATCCCGCTTATGGGATTCGAACACAGAGCCTTCAGTCTCGCGAGCAAACGCTTAGTCTATTTATTTATTTATTTTAACACATAAGTATAGGTACAGGGAGGCACCAAGTACATATGCGCCACACAAATCTCAATTGATTTGTGTGAGGGCTGTGATACTGTCCGGGTGCCCAAACCGAAGCAGGTGGTTGTCTTAGGGGGCCACACCCCGAGCCTTTGACCTGAACGTCTGATCCACAAGGCAGTGGAGCATCGTGAGGAGATGCAGTCCCATGGTAACCGGTGACCAACGATTGGTTCATACGCCATTTGTTCCTTCAGGATACTGGAGCTAGCCCATGTGCACCATTGATTTGGGGTCCGGTTAAAGCCAGTGCCGGACATTCGCTTTTCGTCCTCTCATTTTCGTAGACAACACCCCCTTCACGTGAAGGCAGTGAGTAGGACTTCCCTTTTAGAGGCTATATACGCATGGCCATGTGAGAGCATTTCGAGAGGGAGAGCGGACTCTCCCCACTCTCGGCCGTACCAGGGCATTTGGGGGCGAACGCTTAGTCTACTGAACAACTGAGCAACAAATGCCCTGGTACGGCCAAGGCCACGCGTATATAGCTTCTGCTAGGGAAGTCCTACTCACTACCTTCTCGTTGCGCAGGAGTTTTTACGAAATTGGGAGGACGAAAAGCGAATGTTGGACTCTTTAACCGGGTTAGTGGACACGAAGGGTCTATATAGGGGAGTTGGAAAACCCTGATTCCAAACCAATGGTGCACATGGGCTCCAGAATCCTGAGGGAACAAATGAAGTATGGAATTATTATTGGTCACTGACCACGATGGGACTGCATCCCCTGACATTGCTCCACTGTCTTGTGGATCAGACCTTTAGGTCGAAGGCTTCGGGTGTGGTCCACTAACAAAACCACCTGTTTCGGTTTGGGTAGCCGGGCAGTATCCCATCACTCACACAGATCAAATGAGATTTGTGTGGCGCATATGTATTTGGTACCGCCTTGTACCAATATCCTGGGTGACACGGTACACCTGGCTTAAATATGTAGATGACACATTTGTTATCATTTTTAAAAAGTCTCAGGAATTGCTCCAAACACATAAACCGGCTGTCAGGATAGAATTCGATCTGAACTAATAATAAGGACTAGACACGCATGACATTGATCACCACCCAGTGATCAATCAATTGTGATTACATCTCAGTCCTACAGGAGGTCGGTCGCTGCCCGGATAGCTCAGTGGTAACGTCTCTGACTGTGAAGCATGGTAACACGGGATCGAACCCATTAGGGAGCATCAGTTCCCTCAAGATTACAGGTGTACTTTAGTGAGTGTCAAGTAGCACGAAATCAAGGTCCAGGGTTTCCTGTCGACCACCTCCAACCACCATCTAACCTTACAATAGTGCCCGCGGTGTCGAGTCACCTAGACTGGTGGCCACATTGCAACATGATCGATAGCATTCGATCAGCACTAATAATAAGGACTAGACACGCATGACATTGGTCACCTAGTGATCAATCAATTGTGATGTTACTACAATAAGTAAGGATGAATCATAATAGGTAAGCAACTAGTAGCTTGTAAATTTGTAGACCAATCCCATTTTATATTTTTCTCTAGAAGGTTATTTAATCGGGCACATAAATGGTGAATGTTAGGATGAAAGGCCCCATAATAGCTAACTAGTCCCGAAAAGAGATCGCAGTGTGAGGACATCCGTTGGTCTAGGCATAGCTTTGATTGCCTGAATATTTATCGATTATAAACCCGAGATAGCGTACCTTTAGCATGTAAAAGTTACACTTTTCGACAAGGAGCCATAGTTGATATCCGGTTATCCACGACAGCATCAGATTGAACTTCTGATTCCATAACGAACGAACAAATGATTCATGAGTGATAAACATAAATCTCCTTTGTTTGATTTTGTATATTCTATTAAGATTAATCACATTAGATGACGGTGGTAATAAAAAGGTAAGTATGAATTAAGTTGAGTGAATTTATTTCAAGCATTCTTAATCTAACAGACGTGAAGATGGGAAAGTCGATTCATCAACTCATTGAGTACAATAGGTGACTCAGTCTTGGATAAGCATGAAAGAGACAAGTTTACAGACACATATACGTATTAGCATACATACATGCATAAAGCATGATCAAAGTCTACACGTAAATAATTGGCTAAGTCAAACATATGGATGAGAGAAGAGGTAGAAAGATTAGATCATGTAGGCGAGTGATAACAGAGATTTACTACAACATTAACGAGGAGAGAAAATTAACTAGATATCTATACCCAATTACCGCCTACTCCTAGATGATTTTAAAAGTTAAGAGAGAGTAGTTTGCAGGAAGTGAGTCAATCATTATCCAGTGAGTATTGTTCTGTTATATGTTGTGTTCATCCATTAAACTAAATGGAAAAATGTCCGAAAATGCTTGATATATTATAATATGGAAATATTGAAGTTTAATAAATGGATGCGATATAAACAAATATATTATATCGATCTATCTAGACTATTTATTCATTACTACACGCTAGAATAAATAGTAGAGCAAAATATAAGACACAAGTTTTAAGAATCGCAGTTGTTATAAGTTCAATCTCAACAGGTGCTCGTTTGCCATTATTGTACCTTCATCGTTCATAGATAAATGTTGTATAAACAGTAATTTAACCCATTTTCATGTCTATTTAGTGAGTGATTGCTACGTATATAAGTGTAATTTTCATTCGCGACCGTTGTTGCTACTTTGACGTGTTGGTCGGACTTGCCGATCGTGATGAAGCGACCGAGCTATAATGGCTGGAACAACCGTTCCTCAAGGTCCCACCATACCAGAAAGGTCGGTAGAACAGCGGTAAGACTAACAGCAACAAATCCAATGTCTGAAGGCGAAGTCGTACTGCTGACTGTACAGATGTGTAACAGCAGTAAGGTGTTTCCTCCAGACAACCAGCATGTCAGCAATGCTGTCTTCCCATAACGAGGGGTGGGGTTAGAAAAGGTCCACCCTAAAAATGCACACCTCGTCTTATCCCACGGATATCCGTCTCCGGCGGTAAGGTCTCAACAAGTACGGAGCTAACACAAAAATTACTCATAAAAAGATCGTGTGTAACCGACCTCAAGCAGTTGTTCCTTGGGCACTGCGGTCAAGCTCTCAGGTCACTACGACCACCTCTAGTCCAATTTCTTTTTCAGGTACCTCCTCCAGAAGACTGTAATTTTCATTAAACACTATATTTTGACACCCATCTTTTAATTAATTTGGAATTTTTCATTAAGCATATTTAGGTATGGTACATGTTTATAGCAAACAGTTGTGGATAATTCTAAAAGCCTGAAATGAAATCTTTGATGTGTAACACTCATCAACTAAGATTGAACAGAAAAATGATCAGAATTACTGGGTACAATCCACTGAATGAAAATTATAATTTATTAGTTATTTGAACACATAAATATTGGTACAAGAGGGCACCAAATATATATGCGCCATACGAAATTTTATTTGTATTTGGGCTTTGATACTGCCCTTGTGCCCAAACCGAAACAGATGGTTTTCGTAGGGTGCCACACTCGGAGCCTTTGACCTAAAGGTCTAACCCACAAGGCAGTGGAGCATCTTGAGAAGATGCACTCCCATGGTAACCGGTGACCAACGATTGATTCATACTTCATTTGTTCCCGCAGGATACTGGAGCCCATGTGCACTATTGATTTGGGATCCGGTTAAAGCGTCAGACATTCGCTTTCCGTCCTCTCATTTTCGTAGACAACACCCCCTTCACGAGAATGCAGTGAGTAGGACTTCCCTGGCAGAGGCTATATACGCGTGGCTGTTTGAGAGCATTTCAAGAGGGAAGGCAAGCCCACTCCACTTTCGGTCATACCAGGGTATTTGGGGGCAATGAAAATTGTAAACATTGCGAACTGAAGTGGATGAAGTGAAGTTTGAATCTACGACTTATAAATTGAAAGTGATCACTCATTCCAAGAAAATAGAATAGACCAATAAACTAAATTCAAACTAATCACTTAACTTTCAGTAAACAAGTATGATCAAAGAAACAGAAGATAGAACAAGTAAAATGAATTAAAAGTAAATATTCGAAAATAATTTTTTTCTTTAGAAACTATATACACTTACCGATATTGGGAATGTGGAATTTGTGATTGAATATTCATTATTACAGAAGGATTAGTGTATTGTAATGTTTCATCAGTATTATTCATTATTGATTGAGTTGGACCATTTTTAGTCTCATATACAACATACTGTAAAAACAATGAATAAAGAGAATATATACATACATCATTTCGATCAATCTAATACTAACAACGATCAGTATTTAAATCACGCAGACGCATACCCAAATGAAGATTGTGCAAACTGGTTCATTTAAAATCATTAATATATTTATTAAGTAATAAGTAATGATTAATAATAATGCAGTGTGGGCTAGTTATATCGACATAAGTAGTATATGATGCTAGTCAGGAACACAATGTCTAGCAGCAGAGTATCGAACAGTAAAGAATGGAAATACAATCCGATTTGTATAAAAATGCAAGAACAATGAAGTCTAAGTCATTTTAAGACAATTGATGAACATTTTGCAAATGAAGCATTTACTATATGATTCTCAGACTTTATTGAAATGCTCTGTAATTTTGTGCTCAAATACATTTGATTGTCCCCCCCCACACACACACAAACACACCCGTGTTCTGTTCACTATAATAATATCAAAAGGACGTAATGACCATTCAATGCTTTCAAGTTTTTCCATAATGATCTAACTTCAACGAATTCCACTATGAATACCGATAAAAATTTTATTTGATTAAATCAACAATAGCAGTTTAAAAATCCCCATAGAATATTCAAAAATAAAGAATATTTGAGCGAACAATTGTTTTCAATAACTTCATCATCAGGCTCTACAGTTATAAGGCATGTATTAATGAAATTTGACAATGTTATGTGTTAAAAAAAAAAATTGGTGCACTTTTGCATCTGTTACGATATGTATATATATATACTTCAAAATGGTATTATTTGCAAATGAGAAAGGTCATTCAATAAAGGTCAAGCTGATTTGGAGTAAAGTGTTCAATCGAAATAAGTAGAATAGTATTATAATCGTTTAAATATCCCAGTCATATTAAAAGACTAGTATTTGAACGAAGAATATTCTTTTCGATAAATTCTCTTCAGGTTCTACAATTATATATCCAAATTAATAATCCGAAAAATGGCCAGTTTAAGGGTAAAGTACATAGTTTAAAGCATGTGAATTTAGGATTGTGATAAATAAAATACAATAAAATTGTGCATGTTGTTATGACTCATAAAGAATGTTAACTTGAATCTGAGTTTATGTTCAGTGAGATTTTAAGATCTATGATCAGAATAAATATGGGTCAAGTAGGGTGAGAAAAATAATAGTGCAATTACCATTCGATCAAATAGGTAAGACGTAATAAGGAGGGAAGAATCATGTATAGGGGAGATTAATAATGAATACGAAAAATAATAATAACAATAATAATAATACAATGATTTATGAATAAAGATAACTGAGAAAATTACAATTGACTACGAAAGGTCATAGTCAAATTACGTCATTCAATAGTTAAGATTACGATTGATTAATTGGCCTTGATGTTGGCCAGGGGAGGAGGAGTGGTTGAATATATTTCTTCTGTACACATAGCTCCGGTTTCTTCATCCGGATGGCTATTGCTTCAGCTGTTTGAAGGACTTTCAGTCTGACCAGTTTGGGCAAAAAATTACTGACCTTATAAATAATTGAAAAAGACTGGTTTATACTGGCACTATGACCAGTTTGTACTAAATGGGCTAATATTGAGCTGTTCACTTTCTTCATCAAACCTTTGTTAAGCCACGCTGGAAGGTGTTCACGAGCACGAAAATGTAAATTCCTAGAACTTCGACCAATGTAACTCGCTCCACAGGAGCAGTCGAACTGATAAATGCAAAATGAGGTGGTCATTCTAGGTAATTCATCTTTTAGTCTCGGTGTAACCATTGGGCGCGTAGAAAACACTAATCGCAGTTCTCCGGCGTTAAAAGATTTTTGTATTGTCCTACGTAGTCTCTGAGTTAATATTTCACTCGCCACATCCCCTCTGAATTGTAAACGCATGAACAGGGATTTCTTCTTCACTGTTTGTATTTCGCCTATTTTCGCCTTCGTGATCATATATTTAGTTATAAACTTTCTAGGGTAGCCGTTCTCCCTGAGAGTATTATGCAAGCTGTTAAGCTCTTGTTCAACTATATCAGCAGAACATATAGCGCGTATACGATAACTAAGGGTTTTGATCAGGTTTCGTTTGTGCTGTAGAGGTACAAAGCTAAGAAAATGGGTATACTGTCCAGTCCATGTACTTTTTTTGTTTAAGTTCCTTTTCAACGACCCGTCCGCTCTCTTAGTCAAGAGAACGTCCAGAAAAGCTATTCGGCCCTCATTCTCTTCTTCTGATGTAAACTGCATGGCTGGATGTACTTCATTAAATCGCCTAAGAACCTCTTGTGGTGACGTATTATCTTTACACAGAATGAACGTGTCATCCATGTATCTACAGTAAAATGTGAAGTTTTGAATAATCTTTTTCAGTGGACCATTTTCTATTTTTGCTAGAAAAATATCAGCTAGTATAGGGCCTAGTGGTGAACCCATTGCAACCCCATCTGTTTGTCTATATATTTCACCGTTGAACTTAAAATTCACATTCATGGTGCATTTGAGTAATAATTCTTTCACGATATTAATAGGAACAGTAGTCTCGATTTCGTTTTCAATCAGTTGTTCGCCTATATATTCTACAGTCTCAATGAGTGGGACGTTTGTGAATAGCGATGTTACATCCAATGACATCATCTTTAGACCCAGCGTATTTGCATTTTTGATTTTATCAACAAATTGGAACACATCCTTAACACTATATTTTACAAGCTTTTCGTGTAGCGGTTTCAATATAGTTACCAACCATTTAGCTATAGTATGGTAAGGAGAGTTATACATATCTAAAATAGGTCTTAATGGGATCCCCGGTTTGTGTACCTTTGGCAATCCATACAATCTCGGCAGATAGGTTCCTACTGGTTTAATAATTTCATATAAACTCGACGAGATGGTCTGTTGGTCCCTGAGCTTCTTCAAAGATCTGGTAAGCTCATTTTCTATCTTATTATTCAAATCTTTCTGGTCAGTTATTTTTTGAAACTTTAATTTGTTATTTAAGATTGTACTCATCTTTTCAATATAATCACTTTTATTAAGAAGAACAATACCTGAACCTTTGTCAGGTTTTGTAATCAGTAACGTCTCATCCTTAAGAAGTAGGTGAATAGCTTCCTTGTGCTTCTTCGTAAGAATGCTTTTGTAACTAAATTTATTGTTCTTATATTGGTAACAGCAGTCTACAAGAGTTGATTTAAAATGTTCTAATTGCTGATCCGAATTCACAACCAAATCACGTGTCTGACTATAAAGATTCTCGAACTGTATATCTGTATCGATGTGATTGCAGTTATTACGAGTATCACAAAATTTTATACCTAGGGATAATACCTCTAGTTTTTCTTTATCTAATTCGACACTTGATAAATTATGTACATACCTTTTAGAGTCCGTTGGAAATTTGCTTTCGGCCGTTTGCTTTTCCAGACCTTTCAGTAGCTGGATGAGTTTCTTTCCTGATCTCTGATCAATAACGTTCTTGACATAGTCCATAAAAGGTATTTTCAAATCATCAGTTAAGTCATCTACTGCATACTTTCTGCGAAAAACATTCATCTGTATCTCGTTTATGTCTGAATGCAAGGCATCGATCTGGTTTAAGGCATGGCGTTTTAATGTTATTTTGTTGGGGTAGACCCCGTTTCGTCTAAGTGATGTATAGTACAATTTAGGATAGTGACCTGATTCGATGCATCTGTTAATAAATTCAATAGTAGTTTTCGTTTCAGTGAACTTTACGTTATACTTCAGGAACTCATTGAGCACCTTCAACGCAATGGGTTGTTCACAACATTTTAATCGTTTAAATATCCCAGTCATATTAAAAGACTAGTATTTGAACGAAGAATATTCTTTTCGATAAATTCTCTTCAGGTTCTACAATTATATATCCAAATTAATAATCCGAAAAATGGCCAGTTTAAGGGTAAAGTACATAGTTTAAAGCATGTGAATTTAGGATTGTGATAAATAAAATACAATAAAACTGTGCATGTTGTTATGACTCATAAAGAATGTTAACTTGAATCTGAGTTTATGTTCAGTGAGATTTTAAGATCTATGATCAGAATAAATATGGGTCAAGTAGGGTGAGAAAAATAATAGTGCAATTACCATTCGATCAAATAGGTAAGACGTAATAAGGAGGGAAGAATCATGTATAGGGGAGATTAATAATGAATACGAAAAATAATAATAACAATAATAATAATACAATGATTTATGAATAAAGATAACTGAGAAAATTACAATTGACTACGAAAGGTCATAGTCAAATTACGTCATTCAATAGTTAAGATTACGATTGATTAATTGGCCTTGATGTTGGCCAGGGGAGGAGGAGTGGTTGAATATATTTCTTCTGTACACATAGCTCCGGTTTCTTCATCCGGATGGCTATTGCTTCAGCTGTTTGAAGGACTTTCAGTCTGACCAGTTTGGGCTATTGAATGACGTAATTTGACTATGACCTTTCGTAGTCAATTGTAATTTTCTCAGTTATCTTTATTCATAAATCATTGTATTATTATTATTGTTATTATTATTTTTCGTATTCATTATTAATCTCCCCTATACATGATTCTTCCCTCCTTATTACGTCTTACCTATTTGATCGAATGGTAATTGCACTATTATTTTTCTCACCCTACTTGACCCATATTTATTCTGATCATAGATCTTAAAATCTCACTGAACATAAACTCAGATTCAAGTTAACATTCTTTATGAGTCATAACAACATGCACAGTTTTATTGTATTTTATTTATCACAATCCTAAATTCACATGCTTTAAACTATGTACTTTACCCTTAAACTGGCCATTTTTCGGATTATTAATTTGGATATATAATTGTAGAACCTGAAGAGAATTTATCGAAAAGAATATTCTTCGTTCAAATACTAGTCTTTTAATATGACTGGGATATTTAAACGATTAAAATGTTGTGAACAACCCATTGCGTTGAAGGTGCTCAATGAGTTCCTGAAGTATAACGTAAAGTTCA